CCTCCTGCGGGAGTGCTCTGCGTGCCCCAACTCTGACAGGTTTCCCCAAATATCCTATTGCATGCGTGCTGGGAAGCGTGCGATTGGCACCCATGTAATAGCGGGGGCTCCCCCTTTAAAAATAAAAAAAAAAAAAAAAATGATGGCTGTGTATAGGGCTGTGGCAGCTGCAGCTGGCTGGGTGGACAAGGGAATGCCCAGGTGCTTGACGCCGTCGCTCGAAGCCGCGAAGGTGACCCCCGTGACTGGATCGGGCCCGGCGAGATGGCTGAGGCTGCCAAGCCCTAGGGCCTGGCTCTTGCTGCGCTGCAGCCTGGCTCCTGTGGCTGCGCAGTGGAGGCCCACGCTGGCCCCCAGCACGATCTGAGCATCCCGGGGAGTCCGCGCGTGCACGCTGGTGTCGTCCGCATGCTGGTGCATGACTGGTGCTGGCTCCCCTGAAGGCAGTCTGATGGGCTGGAAAGCTAGCTGGCCTGCAAGCATCCTGGCATGCGCGGCCATCGGCTGCGCGGCAAGCACAAACAGCAGCGGCGAGAGGGGGCTTCCCTGGAAGACGCCGGAGGCCACCGGGAAGGCATCGGTGTGCCAGCCGTTGAAGGCCACTCGCGCGGGCGTGCCGGAGTGCAGAATGTGCACCCACCGCTGCACACCGGGCCCGAAGCCCACCGCAGCCATGCACCGCTCAATCCAGGCCCTGTCAAGGCGATCGAAGGCCTTCTCGAAGTCCAGGAAGACCTGCACGCCTGGCTGGTGTGTGGCCTCCAGGTAGCTGATCTCCTCCAGGTGTGCCAGCACGTTGTCCCCCGCCCAGCGCTTAGGCAGGAAGCCTGTCTGTGTGGCATCCACCACCTGATTCAGCAGCGGCCCGATCCGGCTGGCGATCGCCCGCGCCGCGAGCTTGTAGTCGGTGTTGAGCAACGTGATGGGCCTGTAGCTGGCTGGAGACTCCCTGTCTGCCCCCTTCCCCTTGTACAAGAGAGTGATACGCCCCTGCGTCAGCGGTGGCGGCAGCGCCGCTTCCCCGCCGCCGCCGAAAGCTTCCTGCAGCATCCCTGCCAGCTCCAGCCCTACCACAGGCCAGAAGCGCAGGTAGAACTCATATGGCAGGCCATCCAAGCCCGGTGCCTTGCCGCGCGGCAGGCTCCGGAGGGCAGTCTCCAGCTCTGCGACCGACACGCTGCCATCACCGCGCTCTCCTTCTGCCGCTGCAGCTGCCTGAGGGGACAAACGCTTGTCCACTGCCCGCAGCAGCTCATCCTGGGCTGCCAGCGACACCGGCTGCGCCGCGAAGAGGCCTGCCGCTTCGTCGCCACTGTAGTACTCCCGCAGCACCGCGCCGCCCCGATCCCTGCCGGCTGGGTGATCCAGGACAACCCGTGGGCTGTCAGGGGCTGGACCTGTCCTGAGGGCCATCAACTCTGTGCGGCCCTGCCGCTCCCGGGCCAGGTGGTGGAACCAGAAGGTGGACTGCTCACCGTAGAACTGCCATACGATCCCAGCCTGGAGTGCTGCCCCCTTAGCTGCCTCCACATTGAGGCCCTGCAGAAGCTGGTGGGCATCCTGCCATGCCAGAAGGGTGTCTGGTGCGGGCCGCCGGGTGAACGCCGCGAGTGCTGCGCGGCTGTCAGACTCCAGAGCCCGCTGAGAGGCCCGGCGCTCCGCTGCGAGAGCCCAGGAACGCTGCATGGCCTTCCTGGGCAGCGAGCATTAGTAAGCTGACGACACGACTGTGCATGCGAGAGCCCCAGCGACACGCGGGGCATGCTGGACTCTCGCATGGGCCTCCTTGCGCAAGTATGGGTGCCAGGTCGCAGCGCAGCAAGAGCCGGACGTTGGGCCTTGGCTGCTTTAGCCACTTGACCGGGGCCCGATCCGGTCACAGGAGTCACCGTCGCGGCGCCAGGCGACAGTTCAACACTTGGATGATGCGCTCTTAAGGGTCGGATCGGTATAAGTGTGGTGGCAGCCAAGCTCCATCACTCGGCTTGTCGGGAGTGAATGCTTGCCAGCACAGTTGCTACACTTGCAGGAGAAGCGTGCTCGTGGCATGTGTGCAAAAGAAAAATGTGTCAGGAAAAGGGACTGCACAAATCCTTACTTTTGGGAAAAGTCTTGTGGACATTTATGACAGGTATGCCATAGAGAAAGCAATGTATGAAAGGAATGTATTGAGTTTCAGCTTGCTTACGGCCGCATCTGCGGTATATAAAATCGCTGTAATGTAATGATGCTTGGATGGCAATATGCCATGTTCATGATGAATGACATCAACACTCTTTACATGCATGCTTGGTTGAAGGCGCCAAAGATTCAATTACGTCTTGTCCTGACACAATTCATGTATATTGCTACGAATCGTGCTGCTGTTGACATCATCAGCTTTTGGCATTTCTTCTCATCTGATTCTCTGTGACACATGTGCGCCATTCGCCATTGCTCATCTACCTGACTAACGGATCCTTGCACCTCTACGGCCATTCATTGAAAAGCAACAGCCACAGAAAGTGTTAAGTGAGGTAGGAGGCAGAAACTGGGTGAGATTAGATAACTAACACCTTCAGGCTGAGAACTGCTAGCATTGTTGCCCTAAAACCAAGCCTCTTTAGCTCCTTGATGTGGCATATCACCGCAAATGATCAAGGACTGATCACTGTGTATCATTGCCAAGGGATGACATACCAGGAGGCCACACACGGAGGTGACAAGTGCACCCAGAATTCTTGCAGGACAGGGCAGCAAGACATTAGATTCTTTGTACTGACTTCCTGCATCATATGCCCCGCTTTGTGATTGCCCATATCTGCTTCTCAAGAGTTGCTCGCTGTTGTCTTGCTGCAGCAACCTGCACAAGCAAACATGTGTTGCATGTCGCTTGCACGATGATGCATGAAGACTAGCATTGGACGCTATCCTCTCCCGGCATCCATTATAAATGGTTTTGTCTCACCTTGGTGGCCATTTCTGAACGCAGGGCCAGAGCTTCTTTGCTTGGAAGCTCGCGCAATGCCTTCACCAGTGACTCAGCTGAAGACTCTGTCGATCTCACCTATTTCAGTCATGCACGCAGAAGAATGAGCCTGAGGATGTCCAGGAAGCTGCCCTTAAACTCTTTGAGAAGCTTGACACTCAGGAGACCGTACACATCTGGCCGTTTACACTTGGAAAGTAAGTGGCATGACCAACCTTGCTGCTCAAGGAGCGCAGCTGCCGGCTAGTAGCCTGCAGCTTCTGCAAGCCCTGGTCGTATTGTGCCTCAGCAGCAGCTTGGCGCTGCAAGAGCTTCACAGCCTCTGCAGCGTCTGCTTGCAAAGCTTCTGTAATTGTCTGACTCTTTGCCTGTGCAGACCTGAAGAATGCCTGCACCAGAAGAGAAAAAGTCAAGCTGTGCAGCAATGTCAGCTCAATCACGGGCGTGTTGCGCAAGAGGTTATGGGCTTCCTAATCAATAGCATACATGATGGCCATAGTCATGGACTGGCATTGCTGATGGCCAATATACCTCTTCACTCCTCAAACGTCCCAGGGTCTGACGATATAGGAATCGCCTTGGACCTGCAGGGCCGTGCCACCAAAATCGAAAATCCATCCAAGGTCATACTGCTCCGTGTTGAATGGCATATCAGTGCAATTTGGAGAGGAAAGCGGGTTGTTGATAGCACACGCACCAGGCAGTATAAGAAGGGCCAGCCCTGTCACTGCAGTCAGGGTAGCTGTCTGGTGTTCAGCAGCAACATGAACGCCACCTGCAATAGCAGCGCATCTCAATCAATATTTTCCCTGATCGCATCGTGAACATTTGCTCGCCACATACCGACAAAATATATATCTCCCTCGCTTCTCTTCAACAGATGGTGTGGACTATACCTTTCATTCTGTCAAAGATCTGCTCTTCCAGGTGCTTGTAATGCGCAATTCCGGTGTCAATGATGCTCTGCAGACCATCCATGCACGTTACTTTCCGATTTACGATTGATGGGAGAGATGGGAGAGGATTGGAAAAACGAGATCCAGCAGGAATCACACATCACCTGACTGCTCTCCACAGCTTTGGCATATTCCTCCCTCGCTTTGACGGTCCCAGATTTCACTGCATACGACGCAGCTTGTATGCCCTCTTCCACCGCTTTCGACGTCTTATCAGCTGCTTCCCAGACCTGGTCTTTGACTTGGTCAAGTGTCGTGTTTGGGTCTTTGCTACTTTCACCCATTGCTTGTGTGGCTATGAAACTTACGGAAATAACAGATTACAACAGTCCTAGATCACAACACTGAAGGAAGGCACTACGGTGCAAGTGTATGTTGTACTCCGCCCTCTAGCGACTATCTAAGCAAAGGGACGATTGATCTATCCTGGTCAAATAAATCAGTTGAAGCACCTTACAGTTGGTGTATACTATTGATTAGTCTGAGTCAGAATTGTATTCGGGCACTTCGATCAAGGCACTTCAAGAGTCCAGACTAAACCCTAGGAAACCCTAGTGCTGAAGTATTGGGGCACCTGGGACTTCTGAAGTGGATGTACTAGGCCTTGTCCAGCCACTTACTTCAAGGTTGCGTGTCATGATCACAGTGACAAGCTAGACTGCAAATACCGTTCATCAGGAATGCATATCAGCACCAATTATAATTACGACAACAACCAAAAGCAGGGCCTTGCAGGCCCGGCCCGGGGCCCGTGGCGCGAACCCCAATCTGAAGCCTCTGGAGATCTGCAAGTGTTTTAGTTGTCTTGCTCTCAGGATTTCCTGAACAGGCCACTCTAAAATACATGCGTTCAAACCCTGCAGCCGTGTACTCCATCAAGACCTGATCAATGTTGCATGCATAACCTCAACGTTGACTGGTCCGCACAACACCACGATAGCCTGAGGGCTGAGACCTCAGCAGGGAGAGAGCAATTAATCAAACCCCCAGTTCATTCCAGAATATTCTACGTAAAAGCCATGTGAACACTGGAAAAGAGCTGCTCCCACAGAATCTATGCCAGACGCGATGTTGACTCAGTCTTCAGCTGACAAAATGTCACCCCATCGTACGCCATATTTTGCTGCTAGGTAGTGAGACCCAATTGGCCCCCTGCTGCCATATGGATACGTCTCTGGCTGGATCTTCTTCTCTTCAATCTCCTGGCCACACACAAGAAGATGATTTTGAGGCCAAGCACCTTTGATATGAGGAATATGACGAGAGAATTCTAGCACCATCAGATGTGTCAGATTGAGAGTGCTGCCACAGAGCACACCTTGAGGATGGGGGTGAAGAGGGCCCATGCAGCGTCCAACTCATCGTTGCGGATGAACAGGCGTTTGTCGCCATTGATGACGTCCAGTATCAGGCGCTCGTATGCGTCTGGCAGGTGGATGTTGTATCGCTGCTTGTAGGTGAGGTCCAGCTTTGTGACGTCCAGGTTGAGGCCCAGACCAGGAACCTTGTTGATGATCTTGAGGTAGATGGCCTCATCTGGCTGAATGCGCAGAACCTGGCACACATGCCAGCACACACTCAATCCCTGGCATGAGTTGGACGCAAAGCAAGGGATGGTCCTAACCTGGCATTGTTGCAAATGTGGCACGCTGGGTTTTGGTCGTGCAGGATGGTCCTTGCAGGGTTGCGCACCAGCTCGTTGGAGGATCTGTCACCGTCGTGCCCCAGCTTGTCCTGATAAAGGCCACCTGGCACCTGGTGGAACTGGACCCGGATCTCAGCCCGGCGGCTGGCCAGTGCTTTGCCAGCCTTGAGCAGGAAGGGGACGCCCGCCCAGCGCGCATTGTTGATGAACACCGCAACAGATGCAAACGTGGGACACAGGCTGCGCAGTCGCACACTCTCTTAGCAAACGCTGAATTGGACGCATACAGCATGCAACACAGCCCTAGTTATACCTGGTCCAAGCAGATCTATGCCATGGCTCTCGTCCACCTTTTCCACTCGAATGGCAAAGGTCATGTACACAAGAGGCAGTCAGGAGCTCACCTGCCCTCCGGCACAGTGTCGTCATCCAGGTAGCCAGGCTTATCAACGCCACTGCCGGAGCGGCCGCGGTATTGGCCGATGACAACGTCATCCAGGCTCAGCTTCTTCATGCTGCGCAGCACCTTGACCTTCTCATTGCGGATGTGCTCTGCAGCCAGACTGACCTGCGACGAACCAAACACTCCTTTGTGAGTGGAATCTCGCAATTGTCTGATTACTCGAGTTTTGAACAGAAATTATAAAAAAAATTCATTGGGGAACAGTCATACCGGTGCTTCCATCGCAAAGAGTGAGACAATCTGCAGCAGGTGGTTCTGGATGACATCACGGATGATGCCATACTGGTCAAAGTACCCCCCACGACCCTCGGTACCAAAATCCTCGCTGAATATCACTTGCACATTGCGGATGTACTGCCTGCTCCACAAGGGCTCAAACACCAAGTTTGCAAATCGCAACACCTGCAACACCACGATTGCCAGTCACACCACATATTCCATGGTCCTGTAATGTTAAATTTTACTATAATGGCACGGCAGTGATAGGAAAGGCTTTCACCGTCAGGTTTTCAATGAGCTCCTTCCCCAGGTAATGGTCGATTCGATACATCTGATCTTCCGTCAGGTAGTTGCTCAGCTCCTTCTCAAGCTGCGCAAATGATTCGCTGTCCTTGCCAAAGGGCTTCTCTACGATGACGCGCGTCCAGCCGGAAGGGCTTGAAGCAGCTGTGGACGCGCAGCCTGCCACCGCAGTGAAAATGGAAGGGGGGATGGACAGGTAGAACACCCTATTCGCCTTCTCCTTCTCCTGCAATCACAAGGCAAGTAACGCAAGATGGTAGATGGGAAGAGCGCCTCCACTTGAGAAGACGTTGCTGTTGGCTCAAGTCCTCAAGCAGCGGTCAATCACCTTTTCCACCTCTGAGAGTCGGTCTGAGAGCGCCCTGAAGTCATCCTCTGACGCGTATTGGCCTGGCTGATAGAAGCACCTTTCCAGGAACTCGTCAAACTTGTCTCCACAGTTCTCGCCGTCAGACAGCCGGCAAGTGAGGGAGCCCCCAATGTACTCCCTAAATTCCTCATCTGACATCTTGGAGCGAGCATAGCCAAAGATGGAGAAGTTCTTTGGCAGGTGGCCCTCAACATACAGGGCAAACAGCGCCGGGTATATCTTCTTCTTTGCTAGGTCACCTGCAGAGTGGCAGCACCATAACATAGTAATTGGTATATTAGTAAGGCCATTCGATCACCAGTATGACTGCAGGCATGCTGATGCCGACCATCAAAATAGAAGCAGCAGGGGCCCAGAGCCTTGCCCGATGCTCCCACAACCACAACGCTCAATGTCTCAGTTTCCCAGTCTGTCGTATCGCTGGAGCTGCCGTCCGCAACGTCATCAGCAACTATGCTGTCAGTGGGGGAATATTCGGATCCATTAGAGCTGATGTCTGCAGGCAGGGTTCCTGTGAAAGCAACAAGCCCAGCTTAGAAGGTGGACTGCTGGAAGACAAGAAAACAGAGAAAACGCTAGTCATGCATACCTGGTGCTGCTGTTGCAACGGAGGAAGGAACCGTCTGTTGCCTCAAAAGTCTCTGGCTTCTTTGGTGCCTTGGTATCCTGCGTGGTTCAGTGTAACAATGAGTGATGCACTGATCACAGCAAAGACCGCCCCCAGCACAATCTTGTCAGCCCCAGTTGTACTCCTATACTTAGACGAGCAGCCCTTACATCGCTGTAACATTGCACCATCCAAAGAGCTGGTGATCGAGAGGATGATCAATACATGCGTGTTCACCTGAGAGCATGCTTCGGTGTTGTCAAGCTGCTGCAGGACCTTTCGTATACAAATGGTAGGACGGAGTGTTTACTTGTGCCCAACATGGGGGCAAGCACTCTCTTGGAGTAGTGAACCACAAACCTAGTTGACTCTAGGGCTAAAACAAGTCACTTGACATATGATCTCCCTTCAAGTGCGATTCATCCACTCATATACACCAAAAGTCCACAAGAAAGCAAATGCAAGCGCAGGATAGTGCAGTCCCTCCCGAAGTGACTCCAGAACCGAGAAAGAGTCAGAAGAGAGCCTTAGGGTTTCCAAAAGGAGAGGCCCTATAGCTAGGGCTTCTGGACAATCACAATCCCGGTTGTGCGCAAAGTAGAATGTCAAGCGACGATCTCATCAAGAATCATTGCATGCAGAAGTAATTCAATACTCCCCTTGCAGCTCTGAAATTCTGATGTGGTTTGGCAACCATTGAGGTGGTCGATTCTGAGGACACCATCCATTCTGAAGACGTTCAAAATGACGTTGTGATCCGTTTGATCGACTCGGCAAATAAGTGGGATAACTCCGATGGATTTTGGAGCCACAGTGTACACATCAGAGCTGGAGGGATCACATGCAGCAGCGAGTGTGTGTGCAAATCTTTCTCACACACGACTGGCATGCTGCAGTCTGATTGGTACAATATCAACATACCAAAAGGAAGGAGCGGGTTGGCGACTACTCACGACCTGGAAGCTCCCACATGGTGCCGCTGTTAAGGTGATCTTTACTTGCTCACCTTACCACATCTCTTGCAATTCCACGAGTTGGACAGGGGCAGTGTTTCTCCCTTTCAGGCATGTTACATTACACTGGATACCTATGCAGGCCGTCTGGGCGCATCCTGAGCATGGGGCAGTGCTGGCAGTCCTGTCAGACTCTGGTACTATGACCATCTTCTCCGAGTGTCAATCACAGGGAGGGACCAGCATGCAGATGGTTGCATCCCTGTCCAGTCAGCATGTCACATCGCTTGATTTTGGACCGAGGGAGCTCGGCCTTCAAATTGCCACAGTGAGCATGGACGGAATTGTCAGGTGTGGTACCTGACATATTTGCAGGACACGCACGCAACAAATCTGATCATGGAGGGCTCAGGACAGTGCTTTAGATACTGAGGCATGGGCATCTGTACATGGGACAGGGTCTATCAGGCAGCGAGCAGCAGTTGTAGCGAGACTTGGGTGCCGCAGACAGAATTTGAGGTTAGCACATCGTTGCCATGCACAGCATTGTGCTGGCGATCCTACAGTCCAGCGATGCCGCCCTTTCTGCTTCTCGGCACACAAGAAGGAGCCAAGGTGCTTTCCCTTGTGCGCAGTGGCGCTCTTGGATCCATGAGGGAGATCTGCAGAATGGCACTCACCTTTTCTGTTGAAATTATTCAATATCGGTGAGCTTGGACAGGTGTTCTATTACGACGGGCAATTGATGTCATGGGAGCTGGCAGCAAGCATTGGAGATGGGGCTGTAGATGACGTTGCATGGACCACCTCAGCCAACGGACATCTTGAGTTTGTTGCCGTTGCACAAGGGAGCACGGTGTCAGTGTGGCAGTTGGAAGGGCATGCAAATGACCTCCAGGTACTACATTCCTGGTTTGCCTGATTTCTTACTGCTCAGCCATATGCGCATGTCACTTACTGCTGGTGTATTTCGGTACTGATGGGCTGGTTGGTCTTGCAGGCAAAGAAAGTGGCCACCCTGGAGGCTCAAGTCCCAGTCTGTCAAGTTGAGTGGAATCCCACGGGGACCTGGCTTGCAGTGGCGACAGACAGAGGCGATGTCAGCCTGTGGCGGCCTAATCTGCTTGGAGAATGGTCTTGTCAGTCAAAAATTGAGCCTCATGAGCAGCTGCAAGACCACGATTATGTGATGGTGGAAGCAAAGTAGGAAACATGCAGCATCGGGGGATGCTCATCTCGGAGATAAGCTTGAATTCAATAACCTGTTGGAATTGTGTGTCATGACGCAAGGACCTCATCGCGGCAGTGGCGGTGCCACCGGGGAACTCAGCAATGTAGGCCACTGGCAAGCTTTGACATTGCCCGTTGGAATTAATTCATAGGGACTTGGAATGATGGTGGACAATCTTTGGTTGAACATATTGTCACTGAGTCCATGCCCAATGACAAATGCGCAAGTGCTCTTGATTCTGTGATGAAGGCATCATTCTTAATAGTAGTGCGGTACTCCGAGTACCGCAGAGTCTGCCACCCAGGGCTATGCAAATTTCACCAGGTCCCGGACATGCGACATGCCAACGAATGTACTGCACGGATTCCGTGCCACGGAATTACATGACAATGTTGGCTGATCATTTAATGCGTTCAGAATTGACAGCAAAGCACTCCAATCATGAATGCATCCGCTGGAAGGCTGGAACGGGCCTCGGTCGCATTGCAGGCAATTCAGCCTACCAGTTGGTGAAGGATTGGTCTGGGCAACCTCAAAGTGACTTGGCAATTTTGCCTCCCGTAGGCCAATCACAAGCAACACACACCTCACAATTATTATGGAAAAAACAAAAATTCAACACACCTTGGGCTGTTCGACTTGAACAGCACGGCACATAATGGTACAAAAAAATCTGGAGAGTGGAAGCTGGGTCATGTGCACGTGCTCTTACGGCCTTGGAAATGTTCTTCTCTGGTGACAGACAGCAGCGCTGCCAGTGAGATGGTACTATGCAGAGCAAAGGCCGCCAAGTACTTTAGTGCAAACTTGCCACTCGTGGACATACAGAGCCAGCCATTCTGTGTCTAGGCTGACCCACCCGCTTAAGAGGGTCCAGCAGTATCCCAAAACAGGCAACGTGCCCGTGGTGCAGCGCCGCGTCGCTAGTCCAAACAACTGGGGGCCCAGTTCACTTCTTGTCCATGGTAACACTCAATCCTTCTTTCCTCCAGCAGCTTGTTTTGCCATGGAAGCTTTCTCCCCCTGTACCACATGCTCTCATACTAAGAACCTCCTGGCCGTGTCTGCACATGGAGACAAAACAGTATCCTTGCAATAAGCTGTTCTCAGGAATCCTTCAGGAGGATTTCAAAGCACACCTCACGGTATTTGTGCAGGTAAAGCTTTAGTGGCTCTCCATACTCTTCAAAGCCCAGGATTCCCATTGCCCACACCAGGTCGTCCCCATTTATGGTCTTCCGTTTCTCCCGTTGGCATTTGTCGCTTGCCCTGGAATCATTGCAGGATACTGCACGTAATATGCCTGTTTCGTGAATTCACGTTCCAGCGAACGCTATAACCTGTACATCTGAAGCATTGAAGTGCAACGTGGCAAGGAGGTGCTCACTCGCTCGTGATGAAGCTGATGAATTCTGATACACACTCCTGCACAGTTTCTTTGGCGTCCTTGGCAATCTTGGCGTTAGCTGGCAAGGCTTTTTTCATTATCCTGCTGATGTTCGCTATGGGAAGAAACCGGTCTTGTTCTCGCACGTTGCCTCCCTTTTCGTCGCCATCATCTAGATCATTGTCCATACCGTTGCTATTCATGCTAGATCGCCTACCGTGGGCACGGCTAACACCTAGTAACCCTTCTGGAAATACTGCACTTGCATATTAGGCTATCACACGCACAGTCATCTTCATATCTGGATTTCTTAAAAGAACCAAAATTCCAAATTGTTGGCAGGCACATGTCACGCACGTTGTCTTCACAATTGGACTTCAGCAAGAAAGGAAGTAGGATCACCTTTGATCGTTAGGGGTCCGGCGGCGGTCCGTCTGCCAACAGGTCCTCCCGCTCGGTCCACCCTGATCTGGGAGAACAATTTTTGCAAGTTTCATTTCTGCCAGAAATTTACCGGTGCCGAGACCAAAGCCTCGCTTCTTTCAAGGCAAACATGGCGACTGCGGTTCAGGAGCGCTTCAGGGAACATGTGAACGTTGTTGATGCTCTCAGAGCCAATTACAGCAGCAGAGACGACCTCAACCGTGTTTCTGCAATACAGCAGTTAGAGGCAGAGCTGTCTGAATTGTGCTCACGACGAGAGACAAATGTCCAGGCTGTAGTGAAAGGTGGGTGTTTTGTAGGCTTCATGGCAGTATAAAATACTTCAGACGGTGTCATCTTGTCCTATAGCATCGAGTTTTCTAGCTGAGTCCTGTCCTGCGTGCAGGAGGGTTCTGCTGCCTTTCCAGATTGAGAAACTAAGAGGATTTGTGTGTTGCAGAGCTGTGCAGAGAAACTGAAGCTGTTGAGGCTGTCCTCAACGAGGCCAGTCCACCATCAGCACATGCAGGAAGAATGAAGGAGCTGCTGTCCGCCAGGACTTCTACGCACAGCGCCGTGGAGCAACTAAATAAAGAGAAGAGATAAGTTCCCATGTTCTCATGTCTTTTAGAAGTTGAGATAGGGGCAAAGTAAAACATGTATGTCTCTTCTAACACTTCCTGTTTAACATATGAGTGCCCTTTGGCTGCCATGCACGTTCTTGCAGGACCAGCAGACATCCTTGCAGCAGCAGGCGACAGAAGTCCAGCTGCGGAGTGAGAGGGTTGAGGAGCTGGTGACGGAGACAGAGCCACGCACGCGGTGAACTTATTCTTTACACCTGACAAGAGCACAAAAAATTCTGTTCTCTCGGCAATTTTGCTTGCAACTAATTGCCGCATGCCAGTGTCTGACAATGCAGGCATGAGCTGAGTCTCTCTGTGACACTGCAGGCATGAGCTGAGTCTCTATGTGCACATCACAAACATCAGCTGGCACCTGCAGAACAATCACAACCGGATTTCTGGCAAGGTGCACCGGCCAGCAACCAAGGACATCCGCCACATTGACATCGACCCATCAGACAAGTCACAATTCGACGTTGTCAACTCGATCTGGGATACTCTGGGGTAAATTCTAGAGCGTGCAAGCAGAAGTGATCACATTTCCTTGTGACCCGACTTCTATGCTCGTACATTTGTCATCAGTATTACTGCTGTCTTAGATCTACCGCCTGGCGAGGTGTGACACAATATCGATCCAATCATGCCCTCTCGGTTTTTCATTTGTGGCTCCAAAGCGGTCATAGTGTCTCCGCTTCTGCGCTTTGCTCATGAACTTCGTTGAGAGACCCTGAACACACGAGCAGAAATTTGCGGTCCATATTCTTGGCCAGCGCGCCGTCTGCAGTGCTATGGTGTCAAAGATCTGTGCGTGTGCGCAAGAGCAGACTTGGAAGGTGATTAGCACTGCAAAGGGGGTTTCGTAGCAATACTCACCTCGTCATCTTCATTGTCAGCAACTTGGACAGAGGCCTCCTCCTTTTGTGGCTCCTCATCGTGCTTCACAGTGGAGGCCAAGCGTGATGACCATTGTGGCAGCTGTTCCCTAGCCCACTCTATGGGCACGAAATGGTCAGGAGAAAGTGCAACGTTACAAAGAGTTGCAAGAAATGATTGCAATCTTGGGGTCAGATGAAATGTTGAGGACTCCGTTACCTATGACAGTGTATAGACAGCAAGTTCCTAGCAGTTCTTCTGCCTGTATGACATTCATAGGTTTGTACCATAAATGTAGATCACCAGCATGGCACACTTTGATCAGGAGACATAACTGCCATCGATTGTCACCACCCTCTGCAGGCAGCAAAAGGCAGATCCAACACTGCTCAATAAAATGCGCTGCAGCTGCAAGCTTGTCATAGCATCCATGGCGATTCCCAGCCTGTTTAGTGCTCGCACCTGTTGCTGAAGGCTGCTCAAGATTTCTTGCTTTAAATCAGTGCTCCAGTGCGAGTTGTTCAGATTCCCCAACGAAAAGTGAGGAGTTGACTGGTCTGGATATTCTGGTGGCAGGGTGGCCTCCAGGTACAGTGCACTCACGCCTACACATTGAAAATCGTTGAAACTCTGTACTTCAAGTACTCATTGTTTCTTTGCAGCTCTGACGGGTGCAACACCCACCACTGCTCTCCACATCGTGCTCTTCGGTGGGTGTTATAACTGCACGGATCTGATCGTCCTCCGTCCTCGTGAAAAGCGAGTCATAGATGCTCTCCAGTGCAAGGATTTCGTCCTCCACCTCTTCCGAAAGCATCAAAGAGCCACGATGGGACTGGTGACTTCTTTGCTTGCCTCAGCTGCTGAAGGAGATGATCTAATAGAGACCTAGGCCGTTCAAATATTGCGATGTCATATGTATGTGTTTGCAATCCCATGCACCATGTTCAGGCTTGATCGTGCATTGCTACTCCGAAACTATTGCCCAATTGCAATAGACCAACTCCCCTCCGACATAAACGCTCCGAAAGGTCGGCGCTTTCCCTCTGAGTTTGGTGTTCCCTTTAAGTAGTGAGCTCCATGATGTTCCTTTCTCAGGCCTCCACCTGTGAGCATCTGTTGCAACAAAAGCAATTATCCCAGTAAGCGTGCAAGTTTGTTCCAACGGATCGAAGAAGACTGATGCGACACGTTTAACCACTTTGACGAGCTTTTTCTCATAGACATACAATGGCTGTTCACAGTGACATTCTCTACCCACGCTATAGCGACATCAAGGAGATACTACTGGTAAGTGGAGGGCAATCTACCCTTTGCAAGAGATGTGCATTTTCAAGAGCTCAAGCAATGTGCATTTCCATCTATTTTCATCTTCAATGAGTGAAAAGTTGGTGCTCTACAGGCTTCGGATGGCATCGGCAGGAATGAAAGGATTCAGGCAGACGGAGAGGAACCAGAGATGCCCGAGACTGAGACACAAATAACAGATCAGAAAGTATGTTGCACAAAGCTGCCAGGAATGTGAGTAACGGGCGATCCTATATGAGAGCACGAGCTGACACTGACATCATGGTTTGCCTGCCGCAGAGGAAAATATCCGGGCCCGGCAATGCTGAAGAAGCCCAGATGCTCAGGGAGAAGCTGGGTACTGCTCACATCTCCCCCTTTCTTCACATTGCGCTTGTGCAAGTCATCGCATTCACCATGTGCAAATTGGGCCATAGCAGGGAGGGGCATTGGCATGAACACGCTGGTGATGCGCACAGGCCTGTCACATGCATCGCCAGCAGCAGGTGTCAGCTCGAAGCAGCCCTTTAAATTTGGCTTTTCTCCGACTGAACGTGATGATGACGCGCCGCAAATCGAAGATACCAATGGTGCTGAACGGAGTACAGAAAGTGGAGAAGAGACGAAAACAACAGAGGTGATTGACAGCCTCCAATTGCTGTCCTGTGAGTCTGCCTTTTCGCATTGGTGAAGAGCCAAAGGCAGACTTCTGTGCAGCAGGCAGACGCTGCTCTTCAGGAGCGTCTCAAGAGGGTGATGGGAGAGCCTTCTGGCAGCACAGAGCGTCGGGTGTTTGTTGGAGGCATGCCTTTTGGCTATGAGGTGAGCATGAAGGGTCTTTCTGCTTTTTATTCCTTCTTCTGTGATGATCATTGCTGGCGATCTGCAGACATTGAGGTAGCTCACTGTTGCCATCAACCACTGACGATTGCTTGATCCCAGGAATCCGATGTATTGGACTACTGGAGCTATTGCGGCGAAATAGAGTCCCTGGATTTGATGCGTTTCCCTGACACTGGTCGGTTCAAAGGCATCGCTTTCATCACCTTCAAGACGGTGAGAGATTGTGCAGCAACGTAATCTTGGGCGCAACCTTGTCTTCCCTGGATGCAATCTGAGCCCCCGTGAATGTGTAGGAAGGAGGCTACAAAGCAGCTCTGGAGTGCGATGGGATGACAATCGACACAGTACAGATCAAAGTTGAGCCTTGCATATCGGCAGGCCCCAAAAGGAAGAAGCAACGCAATGAAGTTGTGTCACAGACCAACAGGAAAGCGCATTCTGGTGCTGCTCCCAAGGTGAATACCCTTCTTGGACCTGCTGACCCCGAAAAGGAACAGTGTGATCTAGCTTCAATGGTCTATGGATGGAAATGGGGTGGATTGTGCTGGACAAAGTTATCCTTACCATCCTTGACGTTGAACAGGTGGAGGGCTACAATGTGGCATATGTGGGCAATATTGCCTTTGAAGCAGGCGAGTCAGATTTGCGAGAGCTGCTCGCCGGCTGCGAAATAACAAAAGTGCGACGACATACGGACAAGGACACTGGCAAGTTCAAGGGATATGCCCATGTACATTTCGCCGACGAAGAATCCCTGGACAGGTAAGTCCAGCAGATGGTCCCTTGCTTGACAAGACTGCAGTGATCCCTGTGACCTGCTGCTTCACACTGATCTTATGACTGTGATCCCACAGGGCGATGGAATTTGATGGTGCAGCCTTGAAAGGCAGGAGAATCAGAGTTGGATATGCACAGGAGAAGAAGCCCAAGGAGTAAAGCATGATTCTGGCATATTCTCTTTCAGTGACTGGAAAGGCGTCAATTGTGCTGGGAAATATGGACATCCTTGTCCTATTTCCTTCATTGAGAGAGACTGCAGGTTCTCAGTTGTGCCATATTGCAAAGATCATCGAGAATATTGCAGTTCTTGATTTGTTACCATAGCATTGTGGCACAATTCGGTGACCAAACGGTACATAAAGTAGGAAAGTTGGTGTTCTCTGCAGCCTGTGGAAGGGGTAGAAGTTAGATGAGATTCCTAGTTGGACAAATAGATGCAAAAAACTGGTCTCAGCTTGTTACAAGATCGGTCTGTCTTCTGAGAGGAACGAATCACGGTATCTGCTGCCTGAGGCAACAATGAAAAAGACTGGTACTCCAGGGATGACATGGCCAGGCTCATGCAGGATCTCCTGCAGGCTCTGCTCCTCAGCAACGCGCACCCACTTGGCAGCATGCTTCCCATAAGGGCTCGGCATGGCTTCTTCGTCTTTGCTCTTTGGCCAGCCGCTGTGCAGCGCCTGAATCAGACAGTCAGAGATGAGGATGGTGGCTCTCACCAGTCGCGCAGATACTTGCAGGTCTGGCAGGTTGAACAGGTCGTCTTGCAGGCAAGGTCTCATTTGCGCTGCACCTCAGGGAAAAGCATTCAGTCACACCAAATTCGGGAGTGTTGCAGGCTCACCTCAGCAAGTTCTCCCAGGGACAGCGCCTCGGCTGCATGCGATAGGTAGTAAGCCTCGATGTTGACACGAGTGTATTCATGGTCCCTGTCCCACTCCAACGGTGGAGCCTCTGGGGAGAACATCACGTCCAGGTGGTCGCCCAGGGTGTCCTGCTCGCTGGCATCCTCCACCGCATCCATCTGCATGGTTTCCGGGTACACCAACAGTAGCGGCCAGTGCACCACACCCAGATTGTCCAGATAAGGTTGGTGATCACCTGCATCATGGCATGCAGGACGTGGCTGCTCAATTCCCTGACCATCTGGACTGCATTCTCCACCTGCCTGACTGTATCAGCTTGGTATTCATTCATGCTCTCGCTGAGTTCATGGGGGGCTCTTTCAGCAGCGCTAGGTACATCTCACCCAAACATGGAGGATGGCACGGTAGCTGAGAATGTCACTCCGCACCTACGCTGAGCTGCGGCCGGCCGACTTGGTAATGGCGCCGCAGCAGCTCAGATGCCAGCTTCTTGGCAGGCGCACGCTGTCCCATGGCCCGTGCGGCCTCCTGCTGTTTTGCCGCATTGGCAGCCTTGAGTTGACCTTCTGCTTGGCTCTGAAGCTGCTGCAATTCTGTAGCACTGCTATCAACTTTCAGGCCATTGCTGCAAATTCCTGCTGCAAGCTCGCACTCCCCCAACTTCAAAGCGGCTCTGGCTCCTCGATAATAGCCCTGGGAAGGACCTCCTTGTTACTTGTCTTTGGAAGTTGTCAGCAAAGGGCCCAATTGTTGCAAAAGCAGAATTCCGACTGCACACCTTCAGATTTGCACTGTTCAGTTTCATTGCTTCTCGGCTGTCCTCCAGGGCGTTCCGATTATTCTCGAGCAGCAGGTGGGCCTGAGCCCTGTTGCTATGCAGTATTGAGAGCAACTCGGGTAGATTGGAACCCATTCCTAAGCCTTTGGTGTAGAGATCAACAGCCTCACGAAGATAGAACCTTTTCTTCAGCTGCAGCCCCCTCTTGAGGGCATCGTTTCCCTGACCCTGAACAATTCTTCAATTACATCAATACATGGCAGGGAAACCTTTCTAAAAATTTACGTGACTTGCCACAATTGATCCGATGGAGTGGCAGAGAGAAAAGGAAGGCTCGCCTTATAAGTTTCGGCACGCTCGTCAGGTGTTGACTCTTCCAATATGGCATTGATTGCTGCAAGATCAACATTTTCATCTTTGTTCTCCGGATACTCATCCCAGAATGCTGCTGGCAAATTGTCCGAGGTGTACTCGGCTGCTGGCATTTCCTTCTGCATCCCCAACTGCTAGGGGGCCAACTAAAATAGCGGTCTTTGGCAGATGTCCTAGACGCACTACGTCAATTGTTAAACGACAGGGTCCGAGTTGCTTGGAGGAATAGAAGACAAGAACTTCAATGGAATGCAAATGCAGGCGGCAGCTTCCCCACGATGGGAAGCTGCAGTTGACCACCTGAAAGTGAGCAATGTTCAAGTCGTCGGTTATATATCAGAGCTCTCCAGATAGCTGATGTCAATTGAAGTGCACCTCTTTGTTGTTGCTTGGGTTGTGATTGTAAATATTGCACGTCGCCATGTATGATATGGCCGCGGGGCCAAGTCACCCGATGACTTATATCATATGATATGATCAGTTGAGTCAGGAACGTGCTTCAGATTACGATAAAAGGCATTGTGGTGGCACTGCATGGTGTGCTCACAGCATGTGCAGTAGGCATGTACAGCACTGGCCGTGGCACTGAATAGTGCCAATTCAGTGGCTTCCCAAAGTCACCCTGTGGGTGCCACAATGATGAACCTCTTTAAACTTATCTGGGTCTGCCAATGTCTGTCTACAGTGTAGCACCCATACACACATCTACCGGCGCAAGCAGTGAGCAAGAGAATGCATATGTTGATGCACACTCGTTGTAGGTATTGAATGGTGTGCGCCGAGCTCATTACAATGGATGAGTTGCTGCAGAAATTGTTGTAATGCTGAGAACTAGTACACAGAGAGCAGACAACCCTTACAGTCGGGATCCTCCTTTTCCGAAGGACCACATATCCAGAGCTTCAGACGACGTTGGCCTGGGTACCACAAAGCAAGGGAAATGAAGTGATGTACACATCAGGGATTGAACTGGTACGCCATCTGCTCTGGGCCAGCTCCAAAATCGCCAATGTCCTCCATCCGATTCTGCCTGTCCTTGCCTCCAATTTTGTTCAGATATCCTTTGTCCACAGAAATCTGTGGGGGCCACACAGCACCACATCACGGGCTCAACACCGCATCTTGTTCCATTGATTATGACTGTGTTGTTTTCTGCTGGCCATGGAGCCTATCCAACAAATATTGACCTCAAACCCCATGAAGTGTAATTTTACTCACAAGTAGTGCGACACAGCAGAGAGAAGCCAGGCGCACCCGCTGGTTGATGTCCATGAGGCGGCCACTGATGGCAATTGACTGCTGTATTTGCCCGTCAATCCGCTGCACCACCCTGGCAGTGTCATAGCGCTCGGGGTCCTCCAGGAACCTGACCATCCCTGCCGCCTCATCAATGCGCGCAAACACCTGGCCCCCGTCGATCATCCTGCAACATTGCACATGCCCAGCCCTCAGTTGGAGGCTCAGGCTTTTTGGCCCAACCACTACAGTCACCAAGCCCACGCAGTAGCACGGAGGCTCACCGCAGGATGTGCTGCTCGGCTTCCGCTGCTGACCCCAGGCCCACCTGGGCCGCAATATCCGCGAGGGACAGCGTGAGGTAGGTCTGCGTCAGCTTCTGGATGGCACGCATTGTGCGCGCATTCAGCGCCAGCTTCACCAGGCCAGTGTTGCCATCCTGCATTTCAGCATCACATTGGCGTCCTACTTCTGCCATGCTTTCACACTGAGCAGAGAGTGCACTTGATTGCACTTCGACATGCAGGTCTGATTGACAGCGCACGTCGGCAAAGGCCTGCTGGTGAGAATTGACGGCCTTCCGCAGATCCTCATCAGACTTGCTGTACGCTGTTGCGAAGTCCTGATACGGTGAGCATTCTGCTTTTGTACTGCGTGTGACTGCTGCAGCTGTGTACTTAGGCAGACCCTTGAAAGAGCCTAGCACAGCAAGCAAACATTTCAGAGAGCCTGAAACCAAGCAATGGGGTGGTTGACAGCCAAGAACAAACTCTTTTGGAAATTGTAGAACGACGTGATGCAAGCCGAAAGGTCAAGGAGCCCCACCAGCATGTATGAGGGAGACCAGCACATATCTCTTGTATGCTGCCATTGTGATTGCATTGACAACCATTGTGGGAGCAGTGAGCGTGTACAGGAACATGTTCAGAGCTTTGCTGTAATTCTTCACCCCTACAGCATGTGACACGCCAAATTGTAAGGCATTGGTATGACAAGAAAATGGTGCAACAGACATGTAATGATACCAAATATTCGATGCGCCATCATGTTGCTCACCTGTATACACCAGACCACCATAGTACCCAAACAGGAGGAAGTCCTTTGCAGTCATGGCTGTCTTTTTGGGATCCACATCGTCGACTTCTTGGTCAAGTATTGGCAAAGCTGCACTGTAAAACTTTGACAGTACGCACCTGCCATTAACCATCAGGTCAGTACATCAGCGGGCAACCTCACACCAAGGGTCAAATGCCAAACATTAAGCAAGTCAGAGACCAACCAAAATATTTCAAAGAGGGAGAGGATATACAGACTTACATTTGACAGAGATCTGCATGCAGTGGGGTCACAAGGGCCGTGCTATCTGCTAATTTGCCCAAAGCCGTGCGCAAGGGAAGGACAGCTCGTCGTGGTGTGTCCATGAGCAAGAAGTGCTCCTTCAGCTTCCGGCACATGCTCACAACTGTGCCACAACAGAACTAATCAAGAAACTGATCAGAAGCAGCCAATGAAATCTCGTGCATTTGAAACTACCTCAGGACAACAAGTGCATAGTGTGGAAGCACTCACATTGCTCTTTTGCTGATCTAATTTGTGACTCCTCGCAAACACGTATGAAGTCGACAGCAAGCTTGACAAAGGCTGCATCAGGATGAGACGGATTGGCTGCTCCGCCTCTAGCTTCCCTGTGAGATGATCAGATCAAACAAATTTGGTCCAGGACCCCAGTTATTCAGGACTACACGCAAGGTCACCAGAAGTAACAATTATTTCACGAAGCATGCATATACATCCACGAATCATCAAGGCGCTCTGACAGTGCCTGGTTGCACTTACAGCAAAATCAAGTATCCAAGGGAGTGCTGCACAGGATCCAAGGCAGACAGTGCATGTGTTAAGGATGCAGAGCTCTGCTGAGCCAAAAGATTTCCCTGCTGGGTGAGCTGGGCGTATAAGTGTGCAGAGTCATTTGATGAATTTTTGATCGACTGTACAAGCCCATCCATGAGGAGATTCGATGTAAGTTTCAGAACAATGCTGGGATGTTATAAATCCAATTGAGACGAGGTCAAGGAGGATATCCTCACATTGCGATTGCAAATGGCGATGGAATTGACCCAGGACATTCCACTATATTCCGTAAGACGGCGTTGAACGTCACAGGCACGTGCGAAAGTGGGCCTACTGAGTTCTGGTTGTGTACATTTCCTTGTAAAAAAAGATGACCATCTGCATGATTGATTTGACAGGCATAACATGTGGATATAAAAGCAACTCGAAAGCCAATAATCTCTTGAGGCTGATGGTCATCAATACGCGCGTAGGCCGGGCCCCGTGCTGCACTAGTGCAGTACTGCCACTGGCAGTGGCCACAGTTGATGGTAAAATGAGCCCAATGGCATGAAGTGGCCCATTGAACGATTGTGATATCATGATGGGGTCATCTGCAACGATTAGTGGAGCGAGGTGAGCCTACTTAATTGTGCTATAGCCTCACTAGCCTGGTAGGGTGCAAACGCATGCTTTTCCTTGAATCCTCAAGGAAGCTTGCTGAAAGTTGCAGCACCGTGCAGCACATCATGATGACATGCACGCCAGTATTTCAAAGTTTGCTGCTTTCATAATACTGCCACAGCTGGACAAAATGCACTTCCAAAAATCTTGACAAGGATGTACTCAGAGATATTGATATCATGACAGCTTCCTTACATCAATACATAATCCAGAAGCTGAATATATCCGACATAATGAGCGTGCTCGGCACAATCAGGATTAACGTCCACTGGGACGCAATAGAACAAGCAATTCATGATGATGATAAGAACACCCCTGTACAAACGTACAAATTTGTAAAGAGTTAAATTCATATTCGGTCTCAATAGCCTGCTGCATCCCACTTCATCCTGGCAACAGCCATCAAAAGGCCTTTTAGCGCAGCTCCAAAGGTTAACCCTCCAATGTTCAAGTCCAAGATGCTGCCTAATCCTGTGCAGTCTCCTTGTCGTAGTGCACATCCAGGGTCTTTGCAGTGATGCGCCGAAGCAGCTCTCTGGGGAAGATCCGTAGTAAGCCCCAGGCGATGTCAAGGGATTCAAAGATGGACCGAGACTCATATGCTCCCTGCAAAGCAACACCAATCCATGACAATAACGTTGCGATGTCCCACCAAGTAAAAGCAGCTCAGGTTGGCAAAGCCTGCCTGTGGTAGATCTTCAGTGACCAGCTACTGACAGAACGGGCTCATCTGGGCAAGGCACAGAAAAAGGGAATAAAGCTCACCTGGTTGACAAACTTGGCCTCAAACTTCTCGAGGAACTCAAGGTAGAGCAGATCCTCAGATGAGAGAGCCTCCTCACCCACCACTGCCTTCATGGCAACAACATCCTTGCCAATGGCGTAGTTGGCATACAGCTGATTGGACACTTCAGAGTGGTCCTTCCTTGTCATGCCCTCACCAATAGCAGATTTCTGTTGAACAGACAGAAATCAATCCTCAGTGCCTACCATTGAAAACATTGCATTTTGTAAGGACATTCTGCAAGAGCTGGAATGCAAAATGCATAAAATGGGAGCATAGAACCGATTCTCTCATGGCAGAACAGGGGAGGTCCTTACCATGAGGCGGGAGAGGGATGGCAGCACATTGATGGGCGGATACACCTGCCGGTTGTGCAGCTGCCTGTCCACATACACCTGCCCCTCTGTGATGTAGCCCGTCAGGTCGGGGATTGGGTGAGTGATGTCATCGTTGGGCATGGTCAGGATGGGCAGCTGAGTGATGGAGCCCTTGCGCCCCTCAATCCTTCCAGCGCGCTCATAGATCGTGGCCAAGTCAGTGTACATGTAACCTGCAGCCCAGCACATCAGGCTCAGCACAATTCGCTCCAAGACATACTCTGTCCAAGCTCAGCAATGTGAAGCCCTGCGATACCTCACCTGGGTAGCCACGACGGCCTGGCACCTCCTCACGCGCAGCTGACACCTCGCGCAGAGCATCAGCGTATGAGCTCATGTCCGTGAGGATGACGAGCACGTGCTTGCCGCACTCGTACGCCAGATACTCTGCGGTCGTCAGCGCAATGCGTGGCGTGATGATGCGCTCGATGGTGGGGTCATTTGCCAGGTTGAGGAAGAGGACAGTCTTGTCCATGGAGCCATTTTCCTCAAAGTCCTGCATGGCACAATGCATACTTTTTCATCAGAACAGATGAGTTCAGCCGAGATTTGGGAAGGTCTGACTGGCAAGCCAGGGAGCAACGGGAAGGGTCCTGCACACCTGCTTGAAGAAATGGGCTGTCTCCATGTTGACACCCATAGCCGCAAAGACGATAGCAAACTCCTCATCTTCCTTGTCAGCCTCCTGTTAGGCAGAAGTAGGCCACCTGAATGGTGCAAGCTACAAGAGAACCAGAATCTTGCAAAGGTCAGGGGCTTTGCACCAAGTACACTTCAAGCCCTGGGATTATAAGCCATGGGATGATAGGCAACAGTGAGGGCACAGGGACTTACCAGCAGATTTCCTTCATCCTCCTTGTGCTTGACAAGGCCAGCCTGTCTGCAGATCTGAGCTGCAATGTCGTTGTGCGGCAGGCCAGCGGCAGAAAAAAGAGGAATCTTCTGTCCACGAGCAATTGAGTTCATGGTATCAATTGTAGAAATGCCTGTTTGGATCATCTCCTCTGGATATGTGCGCTCAGCAGGATTGATTGATGCTCCATTGATGTCCAGGTAAGTCTCTGCCAGCACAGTGGGCCTGCACCCAGGGCAATTGCTCTGTGAAGGTCCGTATCATCTAAAGGATGATATGGCATGTCACTGTAGGATCACAAATACAACTCTAGTGGAGCATTACCCGCCATCGATCGGCTTGCCGGATCCATTGAACACTCTCCCAAGCATATCTCTGGACACGGGCGTCCTCAACACCTGCATCAGGGGTAGGAATGCGTGAAGCAAGATTGATACGGCCGAAAGGACTGAAAGCAATATATGCTCAATGAGACAAAGCCTACCTCGCCAGTGAACTCGAGGGATGTTCCCCTGTTGTCAATGCCTGAGGTTCCCTCAAACACCTGCACAACTGCCTTGCTGCCATCCACTTCAAGGACCTGGCCACGCCGAGATGTGCCATCGCCGAGCTTGAGATTGACGATCTCGGCGTATTTGGGCTTCTGCATGACCGTGACAAAGGCGTCATCAAATGAAATTCACGAGACCTAGGATGTTGCTATCAAGGAGCGTTCTTTGGAAGTCGCAGCAAGACGCACCTTCACACACTCGACAATCACAAGGGGACCGCTGACACCTCCGACTGTGCGGTAGTCTGCGGAGACAACAAGAGATGTCAGCCGAGGAGACACTAAGGCGCTGGATTGCAAAAGGGGTCAACCAAGAAGGAAGGTCGCACCCAGACGAGGCTCCAGGACATAGTCACGATTCACTGCTTTCAAATGAGCCTTAGCAGCGAGATCAGAGCTGAGGCTGTCGACAGCCGGCATCCTGACCACGAAACTGCTCAACCCTAGAAATGGGTGATTGCCTGCTCGTCCCTTTCACAGCAGCTTTCAGTCCAAGGGATGAACCTCCACTTTCTTATCCGAATACCCTGTAGATATTGCTGTAGACAACAGATCAGGAACCTTCCGTCTACTGGAAAATGAAACCAGGCTTTCATTCCACGACAGAATTGTCTTTGTGCATGGCGAAACAATACTATATGGCACGTGTATCTGTTTTAACTCTGTTTTGTCTGGCGATTGCTTTCGAGGCATTTCTTCAAATTTCCAAGATTTACTGTTAAAGAATAAAAGCCTGCTCGATAGGTCAATGTTGCGAGGAATGGATCTTGCGCATGGAGGGTGAGGACGTTGTCACATCAGCACTGGGAAATCTCGCTTTGTTTGGCGCAACTCTCGGCATCTTTGCTGCCTTCAGGAGCAGAGCGCAGCCTCCTCTGCCGAAGGTTGATGTTGCTAATGTTCAGAGCGAATATGAACTCTGCAGAAATTATCTCTGTCACCACGATGTGCTCACTTTAGATTTGTTGGGCAGGGTACTTGCAGAGTGTGCTCTGGCAAGGGTGTCCAGGAATGCACACTATGTTATGGCAGAGGCTCTATCGCGCAACCAGGCTATGTGAATGTTGCCAACCCTCTTCATAGACGGCCATGCCTTCGATGCGAAGGGAGGAAGCAGATCGTCTGTTGCTCTTGCGAAGGTTTCACACGAGGTTTGCAACAATACCTCCAGAATTTGAGCTTTCATCACGGCTGACAGGTCCTTTTCAAGTCCATGATGTCTTCAAGATTACCCGGGAACGCAGTTGCAGAAATGCTCCTCAGGTTTCAGTTTGAGCAGCTGAAGGTTCGGAGAGGTTTGTGAGGAGAGCGAGATCTCTTCCTGATGCGTCTGACGAGGTTCTTCGTGGCAAAATCAGCAGAGGGAGCCAGACTGGTACTGACACAGACGAGTTTTGATGCTGATCTACATCCTTGTGAAGCTGGATCACTTTTCCGAAACTGAAGTTTTGTTCCCTGGTCGTTTGAATAGGCGTGCATCAGCTGTAAATGAATCGAAGTCAAAATCATATTTTTCATGCATCATCGATTGCACGACTTAAAGTGCTCTATCACCCACAGAACAAACGAATTGGGCTTCGCATGCCATGATGGGAACCATTTGGGATATATCCTATTCTGGCATTCTGATCCTGCTGCACTGCCAACCTACACCAGGCGATTTGCACTGAAACTATGCTTAATGTGTAATTAATTTATCGATTACTGCCATTCAGTAATGGCGCACTTCTTTGGAAACATTAGCGAATTTCATAAAGTTTCGCACACACCAGGATGTCCACGCAAGGATGTGGCACTCACAAGAGCACAGTCCGCGCCACCCTCCTCAGGTGAGCACTGTGCGTTTAGCTCATGAATATAATACGTATTCATTAACAATTAAATGGTTGAATTAACCGTAGATCAACATGTGCAGGTTCTCTGGAGCCCCTTTTGGTCAGAGCAGCGAGAGGAGAAGTCGTGGAAAGGCCCCCATGCTGGTGCGAAAAGAACATGTCATTTGTTGATATTGAAACCTGCATGGAGCTTTGTATGCCCGCCCACTGGATATTATGAGGACCAAGATGCATTTCTGACCTTGGTGCAGGATGATGCGTCAGGCCGGTAGATATCAACTTGTAAGTTCCCCCTTTTGTCCATCTTTGTGTTAATGTTTTCGGTAGAGTTTGAGTTGATGTCCAGACCCTGTGGCTGAGTACACTCCTTATGCATGCAGGCATACAGAAAGCTAGCTGAGCGGCACCCTTCATTTCGCGAGAGGCAAGCCCTTCAGAGCCATTTAAAATATACTAAAACAACTTCAGCATTATCTTGCAGGGCTGAATGTCCATGCTTGTTTACAAAATCTTGTTGTGATGTCAGGTCTGAGCGGACGGACCTGATTGTTGAGATCAGTCTACAGCCTTGGCATTCCTTTCGGCCAGATGGTGTCATCCTGTTCAGGTAATACCACCTGATCTTCCAGTCTGGCCATGCAATATGCGCCCTTTATCCTGTCGAAGGTTCCTGGACAAACTGACGTGCCTTGTGTGTGACCCTCTAGCGATATCCTGACACCTCTTGCAGCCCTGGGCGTGCCCTTTGAAATTGATGATCACAAGGGTCCCATCATAGAGAATCCTATAAGCACGATTGAGCAGGTGTGTTTGTCGTCTCTACGTCTGGTCTTCCTCAATAGCTCTCAACAAGTGACTCTAGTCAGCACAGCGCATTCTCGATTGCCAGTTGCTGACGTGTTTGTCGCATGCAGGTGAACCAGTTGCATGATTTGGACTTGGAACGCTTGCACTTTGTGGGTGAATCATTGACTCTCCTGCGACAAGAAACACAGGGTCAGGTGGGCTACTATCCTACTGGGGCTGTCATTCGCGGAAGTGAACTCCTCTGCTTTGCCTTGGGACACTAGCGTGTGCTTAGCGGTCCGTTTGTGGCTGCAGGCTGCAGTGTTGGGGTTTGTGGGCAGCCCATGGACCCTGGCAACGTACATCATAGAGGGGAAGAGCTCCATCCACTATAAGACCATCAAAACGATGCTGTACAAGGCGCCAGAGGTACTTGATGCACTCTTGAGCCACTTGGCAGATCAGATCGCCACCTACATTGGATTCCAGATCAGCTCTGGGGCCCACGCTGTGCAGCTCTTTGACTCCTGGGGCGGCCAGCTACCACCTCACGTGAGTTGCTCTATCGACTCGGCCTCGCACGCACCCTTACTGCTCAGAAATATGCATAAAGCTTATACCCAAGAGCAGCCTGCTATTTGCAGTTTCTTGTCATCCCTGCAAAACTGCTATTGGAGAGTGCTTATCTGCGCAATGCACCCAGACAATTTCTCGAAGTTCTGACTGTTGTATTGAGGCATGGGGGTGTGGGTGTGCAGCTTTGGGACAGGTGGTCGCGGCCGTACATTGAGCGCATCGTGCAGAGAGTGAAGGCAGAGCATCCCAGCGTGCCCATCACACTGTATGCCAATGGCAGTGGAGGGCTGCTGGAGCGTCTGGGCAGCACTGGTGTGGACGTGGTGGGCCTGGACTGGACCATAGACATGGCTGATGCCAGGAGGCGGCTGGGCCCTGATGTCTCAGTGCAGGTGCACAAGCTGCCTCTTCCTGTGATACCCCTACTTGCATCACCTGACATCCTTGAACTGCACAGATCGGCTGACACCTCCCTGAACTGATGCTTGTTACTGTACAGCAGTATGCTGGTACATATGAAATGTGCTGGGTGCAGGGCAATGTGGATCCAGCGGTGTTGTTTGCGTCTGAGGATGCCATAGAGGCGGCAGTCAAGGACTGCATTGCAAAGGCGGGGCAGAAGGGGCACATCTTGAATCTTGGCCATGGAGTTCTTGTGGGCACGCCGGAGGAGAGCGTGGCACACATGTTCAACCTGTCCAAGTCCTTGGTATACACATGAAGCTTGCATTGCAGTCCTAGGCAAGCATAATATGCAGAACCCCGGATTGATTTAAATCATCATGATGATCCTAGCGCCATACATTGAGAGGCACTTGCCGCTGCGGTGTTTTGAGTAATATTCACTGTCAGTGCTACTGCAGTTAATTTGCATCAGCAAATCCTAATTCCATGCCCTGACCTGAGGCTTGGGTTGACCTGAATCTGAGATCGTTCACGGAATTGGCAATTGCAATAGTTGCTAGCAGCATGCCATGCAGTGCATGGTCACCATGCGTCACACGGTCACTAAACACAGTGTCAACGTTGCATCATCATCATCATGAGCGAGACATCATGTTGCTATGATGCTATGATAGCAGATCATCTATATGATATTGCTTTCCGAAATCCAAAACCCGGGCCCCGGGGGTTCCCCATGATTTCAGAAAGACTGGTTGAACCCATGCCATTCACAAAAGTTACCTTCATGGCTACATCACACCCCCTGAAGTGACTCATTCATAAGGTTTTCTCCCTTTTAAATTGCTTCAGGGTCTTGACTACCTTCATTGCAGTCCTAATTAGGCTTCGGACAAGAAAATTGAGGACCACTTTCACGCAAGAGGGATCCTTGTCCAGAGACTCGGGAAAGAATGTCTGATGGTACTTGAAACGTGTTGATGTGGTGTTGGATGCGAGAAATTGGCCATCATGCTTGTGGACAAGCCTGCATGGGTGGAGCATGGAGGTAAAATTTGCTTCACAACGGCATAAGTGATGTTTCCAATTTCTCTTCATATTGAAAGAAGAAAGATTTATCCCTGCACCTTCGCTAGTTTTTATGGATGGAAACACTCTGACGATGTCTGCTGTTTCGTCTCCTTGCCTGTCTCTTTGTATCTTGGACTGCTTTAAAGGTGTGCTGGGCTCTTATTTAGCAAGGGTAACCCATTGAAAGTTCGTACTGGTCAATTCGGATCCGGAAACAGGAGATAGTAACCACAGGAAGTAATTCTTTGTGGGCACTGATGGGCCTGCAAAACAACTATCACACTTCTCTGAAATCAAAGGAAATGCAATCTTGCAGGTTCTCCAATCTTCTCAATTGACGTTCATCCGTCAGGGAAGCGTTTCGTGACAGCTGGTTCCGACCACAAGACAAAATTGTGGAACTTGCTGCCTGTGCTGGAGGTGTGGACCTGTTTTTAAAAAGGGCTTGATCTAGTGTCATGGAGATCTGATATCAATCAAAGCGGCGTTTATTTTCGCACGGTGCACAAGCAATATCTTATCAATCTTAATGTCTGCATCCACGTTGGGTGCAGGCAGAGCAGGAGAAGAACAAGCAGTGTCCACGCTTGCTGGCCACCCTGACAGACCACTATGGGCCCGTGAATGTGGCAAGATTTTCGAGGAACGGACGCTTCTTGGCCACAGGATCCGATGACAAGCTCACCTGCCTGTACGAGTTGCGCCCTGGAGCTGGGCACTCCAGCTTTGGCAGCAGTGATGGGCCGAATGTGGAGAACTGGAAGCACTTCATCACGCTGCGCGGCCACAGCAATAACGTCACAGACTTGGCCTGGTCGAACGATGACACGTACTTGGCCACCTGCAGCCTGGACAACAGCATCATCATTTGGAACCCCTTGAACGGCCAACAGGTCACCACGCTGCATGGGCACGAGAGCTATGTGAAGGGGGTGGCCTGGGACCCCATCGGCAAGTACCTGGCCAGCCAGTCAGACGACAAAACGGTGCGCACTCGTCCTGCATGCCTCCCGCAGACACACAGGCATGCATGCACCCATGCACATGCTCTGTAGTGATGTCGTCTGCTGGCAGGCAAAGGGGTGGCTTGGCATGCTCAGATGCGGCTGTGGCGGGTGGAGGACTGGGCGGCGGTGGCGACAGTGTCAGAGCCCTTCCGCAAGGGGTGGGTGAGCAACACCTTCTCGCTGCGCCTGGGCTGGTCGCCGGATGGGCAGCACCTCACAGCAGTCAACTCGTACCAGTCGCCCTGCCACACCGTGGCGCTGCTGGACAGGCGCACCTGGAAGTACGACTTCTCCATGGTCGGCCACAATGGTGAGCAAGTCACACTCCAGCCAGCTGTCCCACCTCCATGCAGTCTTGCTGATGATATATTCCAGCACCGTCCTCATTGTCAAGCTAATCAATGTAAGCAACACACTACAGAACATGCCAGTCGCCACGTCTGTGATGCATGCTGACACAGGTCTTCATTCTGCCTGACTGAGGCTGGTGTGCTGGTGCCCAGGAGCCATTGTCAAGGCGTCCTACAACCCCAGGATCTTCCGCTCTCTCGAGGGTGGCACTGAGGGCACCTGCGTGGCGCTGGGCAGCCAGGACACAAAGCTGAGCATCTGGCTGTCCAGTGCGAAGCGCCCAACTTTTGTCGCTCAGAAGCTGTTTTTGCAGAGCGTGGTGGACCTGTCGTGGACACCTGACGGGTATTGCCTGCTGGCTTGCTCCAGTGACGGCACCGTGGCGGCGCTTCAATTCGAGGCCAAGGAATTGGGAGCGCCTCTCAAGCAGGTGCTGCTGCCATCTCTGCGCCAATAGACATGTCGTGCCGTGCCGCGAGGGACCAGTCCTGGCTGATGTGCCATTCAAATGTCCTCTTTCTACTGGGCGAGGGAGACTCTGCTTAGAAGATACAGATTCATGCAAACGGGAAACGTGAACGGGTGCAGGCGGAGGTGGATGGGATGCTGAAGACGCTGTACGGCTCTTCCGAATCAAAGGCGACACTCTTTGCAGAGAGCGCAGCCCAACTGCAACTGGAAGCTGCGGCCACCAATGGGCACGCGGCGACGCCTCCCACAGGCGATGCAGCCGCCAGACCACACCAGCCTCTTGTAGGGCTGGCAGCTCGAATGCAGCCGGCGGGGGGCATCCCTTCAGGAGTCGGCCCTTCAGCGACAGCGCTGCAGACACAGGCTCGGCAGATGAACGGGCAGCGGCGAGTCCCGCCCATGTCACTGCAGCCCTCTGGCAACGGGACCGTGCCCACCCGCATCGCACCGCAGCCGCCGCAAGCGCAACCGCAGTCAGCCAGCGCGCAGCCGCCGCAAGCCCCCGGCAGGCCAGCGCAAGGGCTCACAACCCCCGCCGGAGCTGTGGGCACCAAGCGGAGAGCTGCAGAGGGAGGAGCGCCCACCAGCAAGCGGCTGGTGGCAGAAAGGGTCGATGGGCGGCCGTTTGCCTCGCAGGCGGCCGCGTTTGAGTCACCGGGCAGGGCGGCCAGGCCGCTGCTGAGCCTGCCGGCGGCGGAGGCGCTGGTGTCGCAGCAGCTGCATGCCAGGGACCAGTCAGAGCTGGCGCCTGTCGGCCAGGCGCCAGGGCGCGTCATGCTGGAGGCGGCAAATGATCTGGCGAGCGGGGCAGACCGCGCCACGGCGGATGTGGTGTGCTCCTGCAGCGGGAAGCAGGTGTGGGCCGACCGCCTGAGTGGTTGCGTGGTGCGCCTGGCCGGCAGCCAGAACTATGCAGCCGTCGGGCTGCGTGATGGAACTGTGCAGGTGCCGTCCTCCCCGAGGCCTCCATGATTTTGTTGTATGGACATGGACATCCTTTCCTGACACCCTATTTCAAGTCTAGAATTGTTTATTAGCAGCACCTCAGGTATATGACTGCTTCGATGTCCAACAGGTGTACAGCCCGGCAGGACGGCGGCTGCTGCCAGCAATGCAGCTAGGATCTGCGCCGATGTTTCTGGTGTCGGATGGCGGCTGGAGGCTACTGGCTGTCAGCCAGTCAGGCTCCCTGCACCTGTGGGACCTGAAGGACCAGCGGCTCATTGTAGAGGCCTCAATAGATTCTTTACTGCGATCCGTTGCCCCACACGTCACAGGTTTGCCCCAGCTCACCAAGTAATCTAAGAGGGACTCCAATGCTTCAGGTTCCAAAGCAGGATTTTGGTCTTCCTGTGAGACATGCAGGCCAACAGGGGGAGTGGTGTGTGTACAGTGGTGTCCGTCCGGTTGTCAACGGCTGGACTTCCGCTGGCGGTGTTGTCAAACAGCACGGCATACGCACTGCACCTGGGTATGAAAACATGGATGCGCGTGGCGGACAGCAACTTCTCCTTCTCATCTTACATGTCCCTCTACTCCGCCGGCGCATCCTCCGCAGGTATGGAGGCTGCACTTGTCCCTGTACGCTGCGGATATCATACGATATATATCCGATATAGATATGCACCCCTGATGTGTGTTGCACCTACAAGGCAATCGGAACTGACAGATTGTATCAATGACCTCCTTGCAAAACCCTGAGGCCTGAACACTCTGTGGCAGGTGACCTGAGTCAGGTGCAGGGCCAGGCCTTGGCGAACTCGGGCTCGCCACTGGCATCCGGTATCGGCTCGCTGGCAGCAGGCCGCTCCAGCAATGCCGAGGTCGATCGCGGGCATCTGGAGGCCAACATGGCGGCCGCACTTCTGCTGCAGTCCCCGCAGGAGTACCGCCGCTGGCTCCTCACCTATGTTCGCCACCTGGCCGGTGTGGCACCTGCCCCTCTTTCTGCAGGCTATGTGCAATGTAGCCACGATTGTGTGCATGTACGCAATGTGGTCATTTAGGCTCCTGTGCCGGGGGATAATTGGATTCTTGTTGCACGACATGCACTTGTGAGGCAGCTCTTTCTCCTATCTTCTGGTGCTGGCTCTGCCTTGATGTCTGCATTCCTCTTTCTGTAATGTGCAATGTGCCCCCACCAGTCTCAAAACCTTGTCTTCCTCCTACTTGTACCATTCTGGTCCTGATCACCGTAAAATAAGTCTGATCAACTGCCGCGCAGGGGATGCTGAGGAGGGCCGCTTGCGCGAGCTGTGTGAGGGGCTGCTGGGACCGCTCAGGCGCAGTGGAGAGGGAACGGATCAGGACGATGCGCCCCGAGCGCTGGGGCTGGACACAAGGAAGCTCCTCCGTGATGATGTGCTGCGAGAAGTGTCCAGGAATCGCACGCATCAGCGCCTTGTGGGCGAGTTTCAGGAGCTGCTCAGTGAAATCGATTGATGTTTTAGCTTTCTGCTTGTCATGTATCACCTGAAAGTCACGGTGGCATTGTTCTGTTCTTGGAAACGCTGTACAGCATTTATCTCAGCTCTTTTATGGGGTCCGGGTTCTGCTTTGTGATTTTTTTATGCAAGTGATTTGAGGTATATCTTGCATTCACAAAAGAGGAGCCGCTCCTACTTTGGCGCTCGCAATCCCTTCTTGTCTTGCATTGGCACTCCTTCTCTTATAGAGGGGTCACCCACGGTGGCATGAGTTCAATGTAAATTTTGCCGAGTCCTGCCCTGATTCCGTTCAAGGTCTGTCTAAAACGCGTCGGGCAGCATGCACTTTCACTTTTTAGCCGATGCACGTGTGTCATGCATGACTATGATTCAAATGATGCTTCGAGATGCAACTTCTCTTGCGCTGAGGACATAGCCGCTATGCTAGCGCGCTATGCTAGCGCGCGGTACTGTAGTACCACCGGTGTCGAACTGCAGGATGACTGAATTTCGGATATCCCACTGTCAACACTATAAAGATGGTGAAAGCAGGTGTTACAATACATTCCAGCAAAATTTCTGTGCCGATCAAGCGTACTGTGCCTCGCCCTCATTTCGCATGCCCTGAGTCAATCATTGTGCATGAGGCCATACAGATCCATGAAGGCGATCCCTTCAAGGAGCGCGCAAAGCACCATCTATTTGGTTTCAGATGCCAAGCATGCCCAATCGTTGACCCTTCACCAGTGACTCACAGGGGTTAGCTCAGACAGTCTCCAACAGCAGCTGCTGGATCTTCTTGATGCGCGTGTTAATGGACAGGTCAATGTGCTTGTCTCCGATGTCAATGATCACTCCACCGATGATAGCCGGCTCCACCTGCACAGAGATATGCATAACGGTAAGAAGAACACCATTTATCAATGCACAGGGGCTCGCACAGTGTAGCACAATCAGTGCCATTGGCCCCAGATCCTCAGGGCTCATTCGTGCACTGAGCACGCACCTTCTGATCCAGCAGCAGGCTCTGCCCCTTCTTCAAGTACCCATCTGCAATCACAAAAGCAACCCTCAACTGAACTGCTTAAGTGGGTACTCTGTGCAGTCAGCACAAAATCGCATACTGTAATGTGTCATCAGAAGTGGGACAGACAGATTGGTAGAACTCACCTAGGCCCTTCTTGATCTCAGCCAGCTCATTTGCAGCAAGTTGCTGCACATCGCACCATTGCTGTAAATATCGGCGCATCTTGGGGCATAAGGGAAGTTATACTCACAAAGGAAGGCATGACCTGGTTAGGACCTGATGTATTCCACAGTGTCGCAGCTCTCAGATCAAGTACACCTACCTGCGCTGTGGTGATTGTGGCCTTCACTTGACCTCGAGCTGACACCACAAGCTCCTCAAATGTGGTGACAATCTTTGGCACCTCGTTGAGTCTGTTGTTCTCAGCCAGAACCTCTGCATATGGTAATGTCAGTGTCACTGCGAGTTCTATGGAAATGATCCCTTACTTTGACAACTGATGGTATTACAAAAATCCCAAGACTCACCAAAGAACGATTGTGTGGTTTTGCTGACTTTAATTTTGCCAAGAATTTCCTCCAGGGCAGTGACCTTTTCCTTCTTGGGGACACTAGGGTCCCGAAGGAACTGTGCAAACATGGGGTTGCTCTCTGCTAGCTTCTCCACCTGCACATAGGCCAGAGTCACAATGCTAGAAAGACATTGCGTGAAAGCTATTGGCCATGCACATCATCAATGTCAACAGCTGTGTACTCTCAGAGTATGATGTCCAATCCTTACCTCTCGCAGGTCTTTGTCGATCTTGTCCAGTTCTCCCTGCTTCAACCCCGCCTGGAATAGGGCGGAGGCATAGCGGCCGTGGATTCCATGAGTGGGGACTGTTGGCTCCTGCACTGGGGCTTCTGCGAATGTTCTGACCTGTACACCCTGGAACAGCCAACAAGATCGTCTTTTTCAGGGCGACTCGAAGCATTATATTCTTCAGATTGCATGACATATATTGAAGGATTTCACTGTATATGTCTCCTCTTTTGGAAAACTCACTGCATGTCTTGCTGCAGCGCTGGCTGTGAGACGCTGGCCCCGAGCCAGCAAAGACACAGCCGAGCGGAGCATCTCGCCCGTAGCTGCCTCAATACACAGATACACAGTCGCAACAGAGGACCCAAGTTTTAATGGACTGTGTTACCGTTCTGGAAAGCATGCAGGACTACAGGGCAATGGGCAAAGGGCCCCTAAACCCTAAATCCTATGCCCCAAGCGGGGGAGCTCTCATCCTGTGATTCTACTCATATCGTTTCAACGTGTAACGATTGATAATCGCAATGAAATGGCAACTTATCGATGTGCATGCCCAACTTCAAATGTCCGTTGTAATGCACCCATCCAATTGTCTAATTTGGCGAGCAGCTCCTTCGTTTTCAAGCACCAATGTATGTTCAGATCGCCCGCTAGCCTGAGAAGGACACAGCTCAAGCACCGACATGTTGTGCACGTGAACCCATTTGATGTCGCTTGGGGCACCTCTGTCAGTATAAATGCACAAGTGAGTTGAGCTGACCCAGGATGTCCTGTTGAGAAAAGCAGGAGCAGGACATGCCGAAGCATTGGCAAATTGATCTGTGGATGAATGATCGACTGATGGCAAATTAGATTGTAATCTGCCTAGCCTATTGTGTGAACATATTGCTTTCTATTGCATCCCTCTGTTTTGAGACATAAAAACCTCATGTGCTTGATCTGCTGCAGAGCCTGGCCGCAAATTTGTTTGCCAGCAGCATTTTCCCATATGCCGCGTTCCTGTACTACCTGACGCGCTCCAAGAAAACTCCTGGCTTGGCCCTTTTTGGATTTTACTTCCTATTGGTATTTGTGTTCGCAACAATTCCGGCAGGCATTTATGGTGACAACTCTTCTTTTAAGTGCCTTCATTTCGTCCAATGCTTGCAAGCAAATTATTCTTGGCCTTGCATTGCGTCTACTCCTGCTGATCTCTTTCTGCAATCTGCAGCCAAGACGCACTATGGAACCATATTGGCAAACGTAGACTGGCTGCATGGCGGTGCAGAGTCCCTCCTGACAATTACAAATCTAATGATAGGTGTGTGATGCTGGGCGCTGTCCATTCTTATGTGCTGATCTGCTTGTGAATTTGCAGAAAAAACTATCACTCTGCAGTGACACCAACTAAAAAGACCTTCTCTGTGTGTGCACAGTGCTTGGTGTTCGTGAAGGCATCCGGCAAGCTGAAAAGAGGAGAGGAGATCTTGAGTCACCTGAGACAGCCAGCAATGAGCAGAGCAAAGTGAAAGAAAAGCAAACACTGTAGTGTTCTAAGATTCCAAGAAGCCAGCTGGTTACACACAGAAGAGGCACACAGAGTCTGCAGAGGTTACACATAGTGTTTTCACAGATCTGTACCTGACAAAGCAGACCTATGGCCCCATAAATCACCTCTGAAGTCAACACGAGCGGGACGACGTCAAAGGGCAGCAGAAATGTTTTTGGCGAACGATCTCGACTGGCACCATATTGACTCAGGTGGTGTGGGATTTCTTGCAGAAATTTTATTGGCAGTCATATGATCGCTCCTCTGGCGGGTTGGCTCCCCAGAAGCGTGCAAAATTGTTACAAACCCTTCTCAGATTTGCTGTCGTTGGGGCCTCGTTCTGCCACAAGGGAACATGTTCAAGCAGACGGGATTTTCATGCTTCTTAGAGACCAACAGCACACTCGCAACATCACTTTATTAAGTTATAATTGAGTACACTTCTTGTTGACATTTCTGTACAAAGCAGGGCTGAAACCTTCCAGCTTGCAACCTGCACCGCATGCATTATGTCCTACAACAATAAATGCCCTGCTGAACCAGCTTTACCACTCACCCACTCCCCAAGGTGTTGGCATGCGTTGCAAACCTCAATATCATTCGTTCCATTCCAGCGCTCTCATGCGCAACAGCCTGGCAAGCCGTTTGTGCCAAACAATTTCCAACAAACAGTACAACTCACCGCTTGCTGATGCTGCTGAAACAAGTGGACAATTGCAGTCCAAAAAGAGGACCACCTGCCTGGACAACACATTCCGCCACTATTCTGCCGAGGATGATCAGAGCCACACAACCAGCCTGGCTGCTATGCCTGGGCTTAGGCACCATTTGGCGGACCGCCAGGCGCCTTCGCCGCAGGTGTCAGAATGAGCCCTGACGGATCCCATGCCTTAGCCGTGTTTGGCGTGTTCAGCTCTCCTTTGCCCAAGGAGGCCTCTTTATCATGCAGCTCCACTCCCAACTGCAGGCCACACATCAGCTGCTAACCACATGCAGTGCTGCATGCTCAAGTCCTCCGTGTACCGTACTTGAAACAAGACCATCACTTGCATATTCCCTGCAAGGTTGGAAGGTGGTTGCAGGATCTTACCATGGGGGGCCTCCTGAAGGGGGGAAAGGTGCCAGGTCGAGGCAGCAGCATCGAGGTGGGCCCATTGTAAGCAGGCGCAATGTGCGACACTGGGATCGCGTTTTGCAGGCCGTTTGACGAGCTGTGCTGCCCGGAACTCTGCTGCCTGGGTGGCCCCGACCCCAGCCCTCTGGACATGTAGGTGTCGGTGGGGAAGGGGATGCTCACCAAGGGAGCAATGTCCAACCGCCCCTGAAAGCAGGAAGCATACAGAGGTCAATCTCCAACACCTGTCCTGCACTCTTGATAGGGGAAAAAAGCACCGATCGGGAACATAGGACCCGCGCAGTCGAATCATGCACAAACCTTGCATGATATAGCGCTGGGAGACGATGGGCTACCTGATGGGGCTGGTCATGCCTGGCATCCGCGCTGGAGCTTGGGGGCTGATCGCAGCTGCTGCTGCTGGGGGGCCTGGCAGATCCGCGGCCCATCTGCATGGTTGCCTCCAGCTGCTCTGCAATTGCGCGCTGCAGCGCGGCCGTGGCTGCCAGGGCTGGGTCGGAGTGATTCGCGCTGCCGAGCTGCTGCTGCGGCCGTCTTTCAGGGCTGGAGGGTTGCGCAGCTGCCTGACCGCTGCTCCTTTCGGGGGCATCTGCCGACGACAGCCGCCGTCCAGCCATGGGCAGCTTGGAGGGGGCGTCTCCAGACGCCTCTGATGGTGGCTGATGCAGCACGAGCAGTTAGGCAATGTACACCCTAAATGTTATGTGGATAAATGTTATGTGGATTGAGGAGAGACAGTATATGAAGAATTGTAGTAAGGAACACAGCATATAAGATGTGGATGGTTGGCAAGGCACGAGCATACCAGGTGGGTGATGCGGCGAGCGAATGCACGGCCTTGCTGGCTGACGGAGGGCGGCGGCTGCGGGTGGTTGTGCTGCCCCTCGTAGGATGTCACCAACACGCCGGCCTCCGTCGCTGATCGCCCGACATGCTTCCTGACTGTGCACCCCGCCACCGTGCACTTGTAGTAGCTGCGAGGATGCGGGTTGCCCTTCACAATCTTCTGCCCATACTTCCGCCACCTGTGCACAAGTTTCCCATGTCACATTCTAATATTCCCCCTTACCACTGTGGCATCCTGCCTTGTCTGAAACTATTCTTTGTTTCAATGGAGCGCTTCTTGAAACTCTAATAACCAGTACTGTGGAATCAGGTGACATGTACACCTGTAGCCGTCATCCATGCTGTCCTGGTCTGTTCTGCTCTCCACCACATGCTTGTTGTCCGACCGCTGCACCTCTTCTGGTGGGGGCACAGGGGGCTGCGCCTTGGATCTGGGGCTCATTTTGACGTTGAGGAACTCTTCCATCTCCTGCACTGTCGGTGACTGGAGCTCCCGCGAGTCATCATCCCCGGTGCCGAGCTCCCCCTTGTGCCGCTTCCCCGCCCTCTCCTCCCGCATGGTCATCAGCCGCACTACACCCCGCAGCACGTTTCAAGTCAGGACCCTTGTACACATGACACTACTGATATGCAATCTGCAGCATGTATGTGCCTCTTGATTTTGTTGAAGGAACTGAGGATAAGGAGGGCCTCTTTGCTCAAAGGCAGGGGGCCGGCACAGATAGGGGGTGGCGACTGTGTAAAAAACACAGGACTCTGCAAAAATGGCAACATCAAGTATTGGGTCTTAGAGTGGGCTGCTTCTCACCAACTGCCTCTTCTTCCAAGCTCCTGCGCTTCATTTCCTCTTCTCTCAGTCGGGAAGCTGCCCGCGCCGCGGCAGCGGCCCTGGCAGCATTGGCTGCAGCTGCGGCTGTCGAGGCCGGCTCTGACTTCAGGTCCCCATCTGACGCTTCTGCGCCCTCCTCGCCATCAGTGGCATTTGCTGAGCTGTCATCAGCACCTGCAACATGAGAGAAATCCTCCGTCTTATGCTTGAGTCATCATACATTGGTACACCTCCTATTCGATTCTGATGGGTCTCCTTGGACCAGGAGCCTGGTCAAGCAAATGGTGAAAGGGGATGGCGTACCTGACTCTACTCTCAAGAGTCGCGTCTGCAGCGCCGCCGGTATCGGCAACAGCGTGCTGCGACCGCTGACGTCGAAGGAAAACCCGCCGCTATCCTGGCTCCGCTTTGCCGCGCGCAGGTGATGCTCCTGTGCCCGCAGCCACTTACAACCATCATCTCACGATCAGAATTTGACAGCGAATTGTGATGAAGTTATCAATTAAGAAGCCCTCTCCTAGGGTGACTATTCTCACGCACTCTCATCAAGGAGGATGTCTGCGCCGCCCTGCCCCTCCCCTGAAAGCGCCCCCCTCGGCCGCTAGTCCCCACCCCTTGTGACCCTCCAGGCTTTGCATGGTTGTGCACCCCCTGCAATCCACGGCAAATTCCAGTGAGCCGCTGCTTGAACCGATGGAGCCCTGTTGACACGCAGGTCTTGGAGCGGCGTACAAATCTGCCCACCTTGCTGGCGGACTTGGATACTTCTCCGTTCTCGGGGTTGCGCTCCACAATCTTCTTCACCTGGCAATTTTGCTGGCTGCATTTGTAATAGCTGCGAGGGTAAGGGCTGCCCTTCACCTGCTTCTCTCCATACCTGCCATGATGCAGACGTCTTGAGCATGCCAAAAGCATATTGTTGAAAATGGCAGGGACACATGCTTAATTCGTGCATAGAAGCAAAGTCTTCGCAAACACAGGACCGGCCGCAAAGACAGAGTCTCACTTGCGCCAGTGATACCCATCATCATTGGCCACTCCCTCTATCCTCCTCAGCCTAATGTCTGGTGCCTGCACAGCCAGCAGGCAGCGCTGCATTCAGTACAAAAGGATGCTCACCGCAGTATCTGTTGAGCACAAGACCTCTGACTCCCAGGGCCATTTAGAGACATATACACTCTTCCCAAGGCTTCACCACATCCATAATACCTAAATGTCATATTAACACGTCTCATATATGCAATTGAGAGCCCCCACATTGCGAGGTGATCGTCTAGCATTACTACTAGTGTAGGCTAGAACGCACGTCTTTCGCCCGGGCAGCAGCTTGGCCACTTCGCGCTGCAGCGAAAGCAGCGGCACCTGCCTCCATTCCAAGAGCAGCTGTGAAGGCTGGTAGGGAGATCCCAGTCGTTGGAGACGGTTCCTCCTGCACGGCGAAGCAACAAAGTGAACGCCTGCTGGGTGCGTTGATCAGCGTCCAACGCAAAGGATTTCTGCTGTCTCACCGTCATTAGAGGCAAAAGGACTGGCGAGTCCAGTACTCCTCTGCGATCGCCCAATCCGAGGTGCATTCCACTCTTGGGAAGGTTTTTCAATGACTCTCTTCTGCTTGGAGATATGCTCTCTGTAGCCAAGGCTTCCAGGCCAGGAGCGTCTCCATCATTCTGCTGTCTATCAGGCTGAGCAACTGACATGATTCCTAGGACTCTTGTGAGGCCAAGATGTACAGGGCTTTCCTTGTCTTCTGAATATTTGATGCCAGGCTGGACACCCACGCTGCCGACGTTTGAGACAACAAGCAAGGCCCCCTGATGAATTGTTCTGAATCGCCTGCTGCTGCATGGTTTCACCACACAGTCATCGCTGGAGATCCTGCACAACTGCCGTGCCAAACAGTAACGTTTTCCGGCGCATCGCAATTTAGAGCTTTGACTTGGGGTTTGACCACAGAGAACCCCTTGGAAAGGGTCGTTGAGCAAATCTAAAGCCCTAACTCCCAGCTCGTTCATTCATTGATCTGCGAAATCGACAGCCCAGATCTATTTAAGCTCTATGAGACAGAAATTTATGCTAAACACATCAGTAACGTGATTCGACATATACATTCGTTGCGCTCTAAGCTGGCCTTGCTGATTTCCAGAACCGTGCTCCCCATTCTTGTTCAGTAAACAAACTAATCAGAGTGTTGAAATTTCTATGAAGTCCAGCTTTGGACACAATCAGGAGCAAGAAGGCTACTGCCAGTGAGCGTTCATTTGGACACCAGCAGTGCAGTGGCAATAGATCAAAGAAGCCAAGATGTGCAAGAAAAGGCCATATCAGTCCACAAGCCCATCATATGGCTGCATAAGGTCGCCTGTATTATGTGCACCGGCCTTCCAGGCTGTCCCATGGCTTGGGAAGCCAGCAAGCATTCCTGTGGTGCAGTACACAGCACCTGAAGGCAGAGAAACACTGAAGAAGCGCCACAGGATTGAGAAAACAGTTCTGCATGACTCCGCCAAGTCCGATTGCGAGAAGACACAGAACACCACTGTGCTGCCTAAAAAAAGCCCCCGGGCAACAGACAGGGCAGAAGATGCAAGCCTTCCTGAGAAGCCACACAGAGACAATCTATCAATGGGACAAATGTTCAACTGGGGACGCAGGAAATATGGCAGACTGGGAAGAGATGGTGCTTCCTGCCTGGATGCTCCTTCATGATACATGTCATCCCTCATGACTTTGAGCGGGATGGATGCCTTGTGCTCACTGTTGTGATCTTGCTTGTCTGCAGGAGTGCATTCGGGAAATCTCCAGCCTGCCACATTGGTGGGATACCAGGTATGGCATCCATAGAAAGATCTGCACAGGTTGTCGCATTGCACTGTTCCAGTGATGCAACTTGACATCCTGGTGAGTTTCAGAATGATTGGCTGGAGACATCCCCTCAAGTGCTGGCCTTCTGGGAGAAAGCCCCCTTCAAGCCTTGTTCTCCTCCCAAGTCCGCTCTGTACTATGCTGTGTGCCCCCATGAGCAGAAGATGGAGGGCGCCCTCCTCATGAAGGTAAGCTTGGGGACGGGAGTTCCACAAACTTGCCCTCACATGCAATCAAATCACTTGGAGCCTACTGGACACAAGGTCTGCACAGGGAAGTGACATTCCCTTTGTGCAGGCTGTCTCATCCACATACGAGGCATTTGGCCTTGGGAAGCACCGACATGGTGGTCCACTGCTAGACCAGAGCATCTCGCTTTACAATGCGCCATATCACGGCCGCCATGAGGCGGATGCATGGCTGGACAGTATTGCAGCGGCTTGTGTTCACATCAGAGACATTGCTCCAGGAGCAGATGCTGATGCTCGGTGGGAGACGGCTTCCTTCTCTGTTAAGCATTATGGCCAGCAAGAGGGAACACTTACATCGCTGTGTACCACTGCAATATCATGGTGATGGCACTTTTTGATTGGGACACAGGTACGTAGGTACTGCAGCTGAGCCTTGCCGTCCTGTGCCGCTGATGATCTATCTCATATGCCATCAGTCAATCCCAGAGGCCATGTCGAAGTGCTACAGTCAGGCAGCACAAGTCCTGCAGAGTGACCCGCCAGCAGCCTTGCACAAGGAGTCCTTGAGCTCTGAGGCACAGGCGAGCAGCACCTCTCCACAGATGGACAGCGATGCGATCGGAGTGAGAAATCATGATTCAGCTGGTGGCATAAATGATGCAGCAGATCTGCAGGCGAATTACAGAGTGATTATTGAGAGGAAAGGAAGCATTGACAGCCAGAAGAAGCTTGGATCTGTGATAATACAGGTGCGGGGTAATCCTGCTTGCATTTCTTGGATTATTTGGACTGGCCTCACATCATGATCGTATCATTGGTGTGGTGCAGCTGATCGGCCAGGAGCAGTTGCTAGACATCACAGGGGAGGCAGCCAGGAACTTGGCCCTGTCCTCCTACGATCAGCTACTGCAGGTCTCATGCACAAATTAGATACCGTTTTTGGAAGTAACAGACTTTGGAATTGTGTCCTTTGGGGGACCTGTATCTGGTTTGGCAAGATCCAGGTATGCAGCATGCCTCTCACATGCACTCCCAATGTACTCAAGATTGCGCCTGACAGCTGCGACATTGACCAATGCCGGACTGTTTTCGAGGGATAGCCGGGGATCCTATGAAAACAGGAGATGAGCTCATGCTTGAGATGATGTATGAAGCTGATTGGTGTAATTGTGCGCAGAACATGGTTGTGCATGAGGAGCCGCGCACCTGGGGCAGGCGGCTCCGACGTGGACGGAAGCGTGCGGGTTACCGTGATGCGGTGAAGCGTTGGATCCATCCCAACGCGCTCCGGCAGCGGCGCATTCCTCACGCTGGAGGCCATGCGGACCGGGGCTCCAAGCCTGCCACTGAGCTGCGTTTGCCGCGTCCGTTGTGATACTGAGTCCCAGCGCTCTAGGCGTGCTGGTGCTGGTGGAGATGGCGCTGTATGGCCAGGCGGCAAGGCGCTGTCTGTGTGCCAGCCGCCTTCGAGGAGGTTGCGAGGGCGTGAGGGTTGTGCGTGTGTAAATGTGTAAGTGTATGTGTGCGGAACTCTCAGGCACGACGGTCCCTTTCTCTGTGAATATAGAAGACATGAACAGTATGCACGAACCAGACTTCTGGCCGCCTGTGAAGCTAAACAATGTGCAGCCTTCCAGAAATTGAGGTACACCTAGTGTCCCTTTACCCAGCTATGGTCTGGGAGAAGGCATTTGGCAGACTTTGGAACTCGTGTGTGTGCGGACCACGCGGCAAATTTGGTCATACCGCGATAGAGCTTCAGCTTTGTTGGCCTTCTTGATGTCTGAAAGAGCCTCTTTGAAGTGCCCCATCTGCTCGTAGGCCTTAGCGCGCCTCACTAGGGCCTTGTGATAGGCGGGCATTGCATCTAGCGCTGATGAGCACTCGTTGACAGCCTCCTTGTACCTGTTGCCATAAATGCAATGAATGATATGTCACAGCCAACCCCGAGATCCAGGTGTGCCTTTCAATTCACAAACGGCAACATAGATAGCCCACGATGCAGCAGATCTGCAGGCGGATTACAGACCCATTGTTGAGAGGAAGGGAAGCATCAAATGCCAGAAGAAGCTTGGATCTGTGATGATACAGGTGAGGGGTCCTCCTTTTTCATATGTCAGAGCCATGAGTAGCATCAGCCTCACATCATTATCGTATCATTCGTGTGGTGCAGATGCTAGACATCACAGCGCAGGCAGCCCAGAACTTGGCCCTGTACTCTTACGATCAGCACAAGATAGATACCGCATTCGGATGTAAAGCCTGGATTCTAGTTTCAAGGGCACTTGTACTTTTGTCTGTCAGGATCCAGGTATGTGCCTCACTGGAAATGCGCTCTTTGCCACCGCTTTTTCCTTTGCATGGGCCACTCAAGTGTTTTGCTTCTGCATGCATGTCACAGAGATACTTTCCTTGTAGAAAAGCACAGCATGCCTGTTAAGTCTGCTTCATGCAGATATTAGCAGAACATCGATGTCGTCCCCATCATAAGTCTGGAACCTTCAGCCATGCTCAAAACTCAGGCCGGAGGCTACATTTGCAGATAATTATCCTGCATTTAGAGTACCCTGGAAGCGTGCACTGCTGCTTGGTTGCCGATGTCAATGATGCCAGGCTGCCACAGCTGTAAACATAGATGCTTCCAAGGACAAATGGTATCATTTCCGGCATGCATGTCCATACCAATGATCCTTTCCCCTTTGCTTCACCTTCTCAACAACTGCGTGTGCCCAAATCCTTCTTTCAAAGGTGTCATCGATTGATGTGCATCTCAGACGCTGGCAAATAATTGCTGTGCTGCATTATCTTGAAGCATCTTGGATCTTGGAAAGGGAAGCGTGCCAGGCAGTGCCACCACCGCACATGCTGTATGCACATGAAGTTCGTCTCTTGACCCCTCTCATGTCATTCCATAACATTTGTAGCTTGCTCTTATCAATGGCACCAAGTTGGCAGTTCAGCGTCAATGTCATTACACATGTAGGCACTGGTTGCGCAGATGATCACAAGGTTTTTCTTTTGAGCTTTCCTGGCCACTGTTCCAAGCAAAGCAGCCATCCTACTCCCACCACGTGCTCGCTAATTGAAAGGACAGAACGCGCGTCGCATTCCTCACCTAGAAAGGCAAAGCTTCATCATGGGTGCCAAGTGGCTTGAGCTGCTGGGAGCCTCTAGGTGCATCTTCAAAAATGTCTGTGATGCGCTCAGTCTGATGGGTCTTCACGCTTAGCCGCCTGTTTGGCCTTCTCTGTGACCTGCTTGACCTCCTCCTTTGTGGCCCTGAGCACCAAAGAAATTGGGGTCATGACCTTCCTGTGTCAGTGGGGTACTATTTGCTGGCATGTGCAGTCTGCAGGACAGCTAGCGCCAGAAATCCAACACAAGTCTCAAAAAAATGGGAGGTGAGTTTCTGCACTTCGATGCTGCTGTGCTCTGTTCTTCCAGCCAGCCCCGTATATGCTTCAGGTTGCGCCTAAAAGTGGCAGCTCCAACGCGAACATCTGACTTCATCAAGTACGCTACGGCCGCTACACCAGCTGCGTGTGGCCATGAAAAGTTTCAGCAGCAAATTTGAGGCTGTCAGTGCAATGAAGAAGGGACATCATGAAGGCAACAGGACTAAGACACAATGGTTTCCTCATCGGGGGACTGTAATTTGCTCCATTTGATCAAAACAATTTCAACTTACCTACTGTCACCATAAAGTTGCTCCACGCCATGGGGCTGTGCCGCTTGCGCTTCACCTCATGCTAGACAAATGGATCAAAAAGGGTCTTTCCGGCTACAACATGCTTGTACTCAGATGCGGCAATATTTTACTTCTCTCGGCAGATACGTGCGAAGAATGGAAAGAAGATCTGAGTTTGAAAGACAAGGATGCGCAAATAGAAGCTGCATGTCCGGTGACGAGAAGTTAGTAATTTTCGACAGTTTCAAAAACCGAGAAGAACCCGGGACCAGGGGAGTTCCCAAACTGTCGTCTTCTAAGATTATATTAATATGGGCAGACACATGTTCCAAAAGGCACACATAGTGTGATCTCGGTGGCTTATCACACGTTAGGGATCGGCGAGATCGGTGATAGCTAAATTTGATATTATAAACGTATTATTGCATACAATAGAGCATTAGAGCAAATTTTACGTTAATAAGTATGCATATTACATTCTTATGATGTCAAACCCCAATCCCTTGGTTGCTAAGTAGCTTGGTCACCTAGTACAATTCAGCAAAATAGTGAGCCGCTTCAATAAATTTTGTCCGCTTTATGATGATCAACGCTTACATAAGTAATGAATGGTAGATCCTCAAATCGATAATGGGCCCAAGAGGTCGAACATGTCGAACGATACTCTTTGTGGCTCTCGCTGGCCTCTTCCAGATCCCCTGGAGCCAAGGTGCGGGCGTGACTAGTCTCAGCACAATCGACTACTTTGTCATTGAGACGATGTATTGAGCCTCACAACAGCCATCACAAGACCTTGCAAACGTCTGGTCTTCCTGCAGGTGACGGAGGGGGTGGAGCAAAGATTTTGGAGCCCATTCAGCGGCCAGATGCTGACATTCCCCACATGCTCGCATTTGGGAACGACCTTGGAAAACCGGTGAGGCCTTGCGCCAGCCACTGAGGGCCCTTTGACCATGCAGCTTGGTTAGAGTAACCCTCGCTTGTGACATCACAGGGACGGCAGCGGCCGCACCAGTGCCTGAGGCGAGGGGATCGGCCGCCGCAGGCCACCTGCAAAATACACATCTTAGACCTTTCGTACATCGCCGCAAAGCTGCGGCTGCCGGGGTGCAGAGAGGACGACTTTGTGGTCGACCCTCTTGAAGGCAACATACTGCCTCACCCGAGGCTGGTGACTGGGAAGCGGAGTGTGGGCAAACCCGTCAATGGCACCGGGTGGATGTACCCCTACAAATATGATGCGCAATCCCAGAACCACTGGGCAGGACCTTGGTGGGTGCTGCTACATCCAGCTACTATCACATTAAGGGTGTTTTCGAAGCCTGCTTGGACAGTCAACACATGTCCCTAGGTGCAAAATCCAAGTGGTTTTCTGCGTGCTGCCAGGTTTGCGCGTGAGACACTCAGGACGAGCGGCAATGCAGCCACGACGCTGGGGAGTGCAGACACAGTCTTTGTGTATGACTACTGCTACCTCATGCGCGTGCTGGCAGACCAGCAGGCCTCTGAGCACTGGTGGCTGAAGGATCGTTACAAGAGCGATGAGGACTATGCTCCTTTGCTTTTGCAGCTGTACAGGTGCGGCTTCAGATTTTCTATGTGGTGCCATGGTCATCGTTTCCTGGTTGGAACCAAAGTTGGGTCTGAATTTCAATTTCAAACTTCTTGCTGTGTTTGTAGGGCGGTGATGAGTCTGCCACGGTGGCAGAAGAGCGGTGGGCGGGATTTTGTCTTTTATCACTCGCATCCCAGTCTTACTATGGGGAAGGAAGCAGAGCAGGCGGCGTTCTTGGGCACCATCTGTGGCAACTTTCAGTGGGCCACAATGCTGGTGGCAGAGCAGGTCTGCATTTCATGTCTCATCCACTCAGAAAGCCTCAGAAGTTTAGGCCCACGTTCCTCACTTTTGAGCCTCCAAACTTGTTAACTTGAGCTCCATTTAGCATCTCAACCATTGCAACTCTCGTCTTTTCGAGCGAGTACTGATTGGGCGGTTTGGCTGTGATGTAGGGGCAGCGGTGGCTGTGCTCTTCCTACAACCCTCGCAGCACGCTGATAGTGCCATACTCCTTCAAAGATAACGGTGTTGGCCAGGCAATGGCACAAAACAGCAGACGTGCAAAATTGCTCTTCTTCAGGTAACAACTCCTTTTCATCATTCTCCCACCTGTTGGATTTGTGGATTGGAATGTTTGGAGATGGATTTGTGAATCAAAAGCGCAAGCGCTACTTGATGATTGATAAGCGTCACTTCCATGCAGGGGTGGCTGCTACTCAACCAAGCCTGGTAATGTGGGTCTTGTGCTGCGGCGATCTGTGGTGACAGGTCTGAGGGGATTGGGAGAGGCGGATGTGGATGTCTGCTGCCATGGCGCGGATGCTCCGGCAAAGGTACTCTTGCACCAATCCAACTGGCTTACAATGCTGCTAACTTGCCACATGGCAAGTACTCTCTTCACTTGTTGCACCCCTATCCATGATGTCCTGCACAATCTGAGAGTATGCTCGCCAGCAGGTTGGTCTGAACGATGTGCTCCAGTTTCTTAAAAAGATGCTGTGTTCAGGTGGCGTGCACGGATGCAAACTTCAAGCAGAATGCACAACAGACACAGCCGAGGTCGGAGCTGCTGAAGGACATGGCGCATTCGCAGTTCTGCCTCATCATGCCTGGGAGCAAGCAGTCCACTGGACACCTTGCGGACGCGTTCTTCACTGGCTGCATCCCTGTCTTCCTGGGCGGCCCCTTCCACACCTTGCCCCTCGCACACTTGGTGCGCCACTCTTTGCCCCATATCGGCGTTAATAAATATAAGGCCCTGCCTGCAATATGTCCATGCCTGTGCTGCATGTCAGGCCTTGTGCATAATAGCTGTGTCAATTATGCCATGAACTGACACCATGCGTCATCTGCTATGGGGATATGCAAGTCTTGACGCAAGGTTCCTGTGGGGCGCAGATCAACTACCCGGCAATAGGCGTGTTTATGAACGCAACCATATCGCCGCTGCCCTGGTGGCCCAAGCGCGAGGGGCTGACTTTCAAGTGGGGCCTCACAGCGCGCGCTGGGATGGAGGACCGGACCCATCCGCGCTGGTGGTACCCAGACGTGCCTCAGGAGGTCCTGGCGCCTGTCGACAGCATGGAAGCCGTCCTGGAGAAGCTGCGCAGCATTTCCAAAGAGCAGGTTTGTTATTGGATCTTTTCAATGGCTTCTCAGCAGTAGCAAGAGGGCGGGCATGCATGGAAATATAGCAAATGAGTGATGTGTCGAGCATGGCCACCAGTTGTCACCATCAGCACTGTTGCAGGCTGCAACTTGCAGCATGGAAAAAATGCGAATGCCTTTTGCATGCCAGAGTGGAAAGATTAGAATCATTGCCTAGGATAGGTGTGCAACGTGTCTGCCAAATCAGTGATTGTTGTGAACTGTCCATCTATGTTTTCCGGGGATGTTTGGAATTAATTTCATCTAGGCTGCACTGGGCTTACATGCTGTGTGCTGTGTGGGCAGATTGCACAGAAGCGGGAGGCGTTGCTGACATACCGCCACCTTTTCACATTCAATGAGCGGCCCACGCACCCATTGGCAGCCTCAGATGTGGTTGCAGAGATGATGTGCACCTATGCAAAGTTGGGAAGGCGGCGGAGGCGGCGGCCAATTGTGCCTCACCCACCAATCCCGCCAGGATTCTGATTTGGAGTATTGATTGTTTGCTGAGATAAGATTGACCTCTTCTTTTTACTTGTACAGCCAACTACGAGATGAATTCTTTTACAGCATGCATATGCGGCTTGCAATCTGTTGCTCGAAATGGCAGGATCAGCACGTGCGAATGGCATATATACCTGGAAAGTACGGCAGTGCTTTTTGCCTAGGCCTGCATTTTATAATTACAATTGATATGAATGTGTTGCATGTCACTGGACTCCTGCATTGTGTCCCTGGTCAAAAGACCTCACAAAAGTTGAGCGCATGGGGAAATTCAGGCTTCCTCAATCGTTTGCACGCATTTTGCAATAGACGCTCCATTCTGCATGGCCGCCTGAAGAGCTTTGTACTCTTTCTCATATTTCTTGAGTAGACTGCATGCCTCGAAGATTGCCAAGCGCTGCATGACACCATCACTGTAAACTTCATGCACTTGATTCAGGTGTGAGCACTGCTCCAGCCCCGTGGCAGATATGGATACAAGTAATAAGCAAGTAGGAGGTGGGACAGACCCTACCGTCATATTTTGCTGCTGCGAAGAGTTCAGCTTCTTCTTGCTTCTCAAGAGGATCCTCTGAAGATCTACAAGATCTGCTGTCTGCCCAATGACCTGCACACACAGCACTCTCTTGGTCACTTTGACTTGCTCCACATTGAATCCAGATCGTAAGCCTGCCTGTGCTTTCAGCATCAAGCACCTCCACAATGTATGCAAGATTTGCACAGACGTGCAGGTAGATATTCGGACCTCCTCGTACTGCATCGCCTCTGCTGCTGCACCAGCCAACGCTACTACCGCCAGTGCATCAATCTCATTGTCCTCAAGACTACCTTCAATGAGCCTCCTTTGCAGCTTTGCCTCTGCAAAGTCTGTGTGTGCTTGGCCTGCAACAAGGTTGCATATTTGTCAATTATGTTTGACATAATGCCGAGACAAATTCTAATGCAAAATAAGCAACTGGCATTCAATGTTAAGCTTCAAGCATGCCGCACCGATGTTGAGGGAGTATGCTGTCACAGGCACTCCAAAGATGTAGCCAGCCTGGAAACAGAGCATTTCAGATGTCATCATCTTGGCATTGCCTGAGGCAGCCGCAGGCTAATTCTGAAAAAAGGGGGGCAGACCAGCAAATGTGCTGCTTCATGTCGCAGCACACGTTCTCTGTAATCAGGGTAGATGCTGGAGAACCTGCTTGGCCAAGCAACAGTCAGGAGCCGCCTATATGGGACACTCAGAAAATCTAGTTGCTCTCAGATTGCAAAGAAGCAACGCAACAGAAGAGGAAGGGGTGATGGGCATACTTGTCGATGAAGAACTGCAGCAGGCCTGGCGCTGTGGAGCCAGTAGCCAGAACAGCGATAGAGATGCCACCAGTCAAGTATGGCACAAAGAAGCCCTGCCGCATGAATGAAACACATGTTGAAGATCTAGGTGTAGAAATCTGGATTTGTACAGAACAGTGTCAACAGATTGTCCAGTGTGATGGCGAAAATGCTTGAGCAGCTCTACATGCGCCCTCCTGCTCTTACTGCAATACTGGACTATCTCAAGGCTGTGCCTCACCCAATCACCAGGGAGAAAGCCAGCTGCCACTGCCACCACGCTGCAACAATCGCAAGAGATGAAGATAAGATGACCCCCTGAAAACTACTTTCTCTGCATCGGCTCAAGCAATAGAGCTTTTTTAGAGATTGTACAGAGTTGCCCATACCTGGTAACGCCAACGACTGAGAATAAGAAGGCCTTGTCATTTCCTGCAAGGAAGGTCCCAAGCTTCAGTAGAGGCAGTCGACGAGATTGGAACATGGATTTCCATCGTTTTGCAGAATGTAGTGAGGTGGATACTTACGGATGCTGGCAACACCAATTCCTGAGGGGTTGAGAACGCCAACTCTCTTCAGATCACCCAAAAACACGTTTCTCCTGTCATAGGGCTCTTCAAGTCCAGCTCCCCATTTTTTCAACACCCCTCCCTCCTTCAGTGCGTTCATAGCTTGAAGAATGTCTCCACTGTATTCATACTTCTGTGTGACAGAAAATCTCTAGTAAGCATTCAACCTTGGCCAGGGGTTTATAAGCTTCTCAAAGTCAGTGAATCACCCTTCAGCTTGGAAACTGACCAGCGAGGGAGGTGCTCTTCTGAGTTCGAGAGCTGCTGTTTCCAGGGCATTGTAAAGCTTCTTGGCATCCTCTGCAACAGTCGCTGAGGCGATGACTCTGCCACGTCGAAAAGTAGCAGCACGCAGCGTTGTCTTATGTGAGATTGGACTGAAGGATAGACTCTGTGGCAAGAGACGTGCTGGAGTGTGCAGTTGCTGCATTGTCTGCGTGTCTTTTGAAACGCGAACTGCAGAACCGTCGATCAAGTGAGACGATCGCGTTCTTCTTGGCTCACAAACAAACCAGAAAGGCTATGATAAATCTTGCCTTCTGAATGTTACAAAGAGGCGACGTAGATTGATGCTCCCAAACAAATTGTTGCTGGACGATGCGAGGCCACTTAAAAATTTCCGAAAGCCTATCTCGAACCCTGTTGAATCCCCTTGATGCAAGGCCCTAGGGGCGCAATAAGTATAGCATGCATGCCCATGCTTCTTCGAATTTGTTGCACATCTGGAGCCGCATTATCTCCTCCGTTGCAGTCCTACAGCGAGGCGAAGTATGGGGAATGCGAAGCAGATCACAGCACTGAATTATCCCTGGAGCCCCTTCGATGTTGTCTCAATCACCAGATTTTACTAGGCTCGAACATCATTAGAACGCGGCAACGCCATGGGCACTATGGAAGGTGGCGACTCTATTGTGTACAATGGAAAGAAAAAGCTCAATCGCAAGGGCCAGCCAGCAATTTCACCAGAAGAGGTACTGGTTGTTAGTGTGCCCAATTGTTACTGCAGCGTCTCTCTTCCATTTATACTCGATGGGGCTATCGAGACGATCTTGTTCGCAGGCACGGGTCAAGGCAATTACGGAGATAGTTGCAGAGCTCATGCGAGGAGTGAAGGAGGGGCGTGATGTAAATTTGAACACAGTCAAGTTTGAGGTACACCTCCAGCTGCCAGCTCCTGCACGATCATTGATCCTATGGATAGCAGGCTTTTGACTTGCGTACTAAGGGTCTCTTGTACTTCAGGCCTCCAAGAAGTATAGCCTGGCTAAGGCGCCAAAGCTGGTTGAGATTCTTAATGCCGTGCCTGAGGAGTACCGCAGCGTGCTCATACCACAGTACGTATCTTCACCCTCAGTTCCCAACACGCTCTGCACAGCTGGAACGCTCTGCTTCACTTGAGGGCCTCGCTCTACACAGCATTCAATGAATTCTTCGTTGTGCTGCAGGCTGCGAGCCAAGCCGGTGAGGACAGCGTCAGGCATAGCGGTGGTGGCAGTCATGTCCAAGCCCCACAGGTGCCCCCACATTGCCACGACGGGCAACATCTGCATTTACTGCCCGGGCGGCCCGGACAGCGACTTTGAGTACAGCACGCAGAGCTACACTGGGTATGAGCCGACCAGCATGCGCGCCATCAGGGCGCGTTACAACCCCTACGTCCAGGCCCGGGCTCGCGTTGACCAGCTGCGACGGCTGGGCCACTCTGTTGACAAGGTTGCTCCCACCTGCTGCCTCTTACAGCGTGTCTTGTTTGTGAGGTGCAGACATGCATGGCTAATTGCAATGCACCTTGATTGCAGGACTTTAGGTTTCCTGGACACATGCTCCAGATGATACAATGCTCTTTCTGGATACAGTGGGAATGAAATGATGTTGGTGTGGGGCAGGTGGAGTTTATTCTGATGGGCGGGACATTCATGTCACTGCCAGCAGAGTACCGGGACTACTTTGTGAGGGGCTTGCACGATGCGCTGTCGGGACACACCTCCTCAAACGTGGCTGAGGCTGTGCGCTTCAGCGAGCAGTCCCACACACGCTGCATCGGACTGACCATTGAGACCCGGCCCGACTACTGCCTGGGACCTCACTTGGACCATGTATGTCACACAAGCCTTGTTGGATGTTTTCCCGTGCCTGGCATCATCTCTTTTCTTGGAAACACGTGCAATGAGCATGTCTGCCTAGCTACTGGAAAACTGCAGGGTCAGAGAACAGAAGTGTTAAGAGCAGTCTGCCATCGTGAGATTGAATAGGTGTGTTTGTGCAGATGCTGTCTTATGGGTGCACCCGACTCGAGATTGGGCTTCAGAGCATATACGAGGATGTGGCGCGGGATACCAACAGAGGGCACACTGTCGCGGCTGTCGGGGAGTGCTTCAGGCTTGCAAAGGATGCCGGCTTCAAGGTGCCCAATCCTTTTCTGCCTCATTTCAGGTCAAGCGAGAACCTGGATGCGAGGAAATTTGGCGGTGGGCTCATGTGTCATATATTGCCTCTCGTATCATGGTACAGCATGGTTTCAGTGATGTGTATGGTGGTGCAGGTCATTGCGCACATGATGCCAGATCTTCCCAATGTGGGCTGGGAGCGCGACTTGGAGTCTTTCAGGGAGTTCTTCGAGAATCCGGCCTTCAGGACAGACGGGCTCAAGATATATCCCACGCTCGTCATCCGCGGCACTGGCCTGTATGAGCTGTGGAAGGCTGGCCTATATCACAATTACGACCCCACTCTTCTAGTGGAGCTGGTAGGCCTTCCATTCTCTTTACCTTTGTTTAGTTGATTCTTAGCTAACCTGAGATGGGGTAAGCTTGCTTTTGGCCTGACTTGAGGGTTGACAGCAGGCCTTCCATTCTTGTTACCTTTGCCTATTTGATTCTTAGCTAACCTGAGATGGGCTAAGCTTGCTTCTGGCCTGACTTGAGGGTTGACAGCGGCCTGCTCTTATCATTTGTTTCCTGGGGCCATCAGCCAGCATCAGAAATCAGCTTCACATCTGCCACAATCCCATTTGACTGTGTCAGGGACAAGTCAAAGGGGAGTTTTTACAACGGCCAGCTCTGCGGCTGTGAAAACTCCAACCTGCCTGGTTCCGTCAAGCACATGGGAAAGCTGAAAGAGCCATTCACAGTGGCCAACTCCCACATGCGCCAGAATGCCAACCTGCTTGATTGTATCCAACCATAAGTCACAGGAAAGCAGGAGGCTGTAGAGCTAAGAGGCAGCCGTTGGCGCGACAGGTGGCGCGTCTGCTGGCGCTGGTGCCTCCGTGGGTGCGCGTGTACCGCATACAGCGCGATATCCCCATGCCCCTCGTCACCAGCGGCGTTGAGAAGGGCAACCTGCGCGAGCTCGCCCTCGCGCGGATGGGCCAGCTCGGCCTGCACTGCCGTGACGTCCGCACCCGCGAAGTCGGCATCCAGGTGCGCATCCGCCCGGTGGCCTTAATTTGCTCCGGCACACATCAATGCCAATTGGAGGTCTGGGTGGTAGCCGCAGGTGTATGTTTCGTCCATCAGGTTCAGTGTGGGGTTTTCAATGGACACATTGGGCACCCGTGCTTACCTCCTAGATCTCCTGTTAGCCTCCCTCTGCCGCAAACAGAGACCTTCAGTCAATGTGATTGTTCTGTTGCATGGCAGGCCCCTTAGGGTAGGCTACATATTGCTAAGACTGCCTGCGTGCTCCAGGGGCTCCGACCGAGTCTGATGTTCTGTTTACCCATACCATTATGTTCTGTCTGGGCATAGGAATTGTTCAGCAAATCTACAGAGCACTGGCATTGATGTTCTGTGAGAGCCGCGCGAAAAATGTCACGTCTGGAAGCGCGTAAGGTTCAGCATCATCTCTGACTCCGGGCGTTAGGGCCTCTCCTGGCTCAAGGCAACAAAAAAGTTGTTCGGAAGTCCAGGCATTGAGGCCGTGTGGTGGGGCGTGCGCAGGACATCCACCAGAAGGTGTCGCCGGAGGAGGTGGAGCTGGTGCGGCGCGACTACACGGCCAACGCGGGGTGGGAAACATTCCTGTCCTATGAGGATCCGCGCCAGGACATCCTCATTGGCCTCCTGCGCCTGCGCCGCCTGCCGGGCCGCCGCTCCATCGTGCGCGAGCTCCACGTCTACGGCTCAGCCGTCGCCGTCCACGCCCGCGACACCTCCAAGCACCAGCACCAGGCGCGCGCCCATGACTCGACACAATTGCATCATTTTTACATTTGGGAGACCTGTGGAGAGCCACGTGAGGCTCATTGGTGTTATGTGCAGTCTCTCACTGTCCATTTTCGTATTGCAGAACTTGTCTTGTGTTTGTACTCTCATGAATTTGGCCTGCACTGGGAGCAGTTGTCTTACCTCTTGAAGTGCAGTGAGCAGACATTCCTCATTGTACAAACAGTGGCTCGGCTGCAGCAATGCTGGGGCAATATTCCGCCTGCGCCAGAGCACTGCTGATGGCTGACTGTTCGCATCTTGAAAAGTGCTGTCTTTCTGTTTCAAGTGTGATGGCAGCTGAGAACAAACAGGGAAACCGTAGTGCTGACATACGGGCGCGGGTGCAGGGGTACGGGACGCTGCTGCTGGAGGAGGCGGAGCGCATAGCGGCGAGCGAGCACCGCAGCCGCCAGCTGGCAATCATCAGCGGGGTGGGCACGCGGCATTACTACCGCAAACTGGGCTACCGGCTTGAGGGCCACTACATGATCAAGGACCTGCCCCCCGTGCAGCGCGGCTGGCGCTGCCACCAGGCCCCCCAGAAGCAGCCACACAGGTGACCTCAAGCTCTGCTGGCTGAGCAGGCGCCGGTCTTTTTGCCCTGGGATTTGGAAGGAGGGCCCACGTGGATGCATGACAACCTGAGCTGGCGCCGGCAACCTTGCCCTGGGGGATCTGAGAGGCGGGTCCACCTGGTTGCATGGCCAGCTGAGCAGGGGATAGCCACTCTGTCCTGACAATGCGACATGAGGATGGACATGGATGCCAGGGAGGAAAGGAATGTGGCTGCAAAGAGAGAGAGAGGCAATAATGTGACCTGCGCCTGGAGAGAGCAGACTGCAGATCTTGACCTTAGAAGCTGAACCACACCGGAACTTGACTTGAACAGCGTTTGCTGAATGCATGAATGTACATTAGCAGGCAATATCGAGCCTTGAATTTCCAGGTGCTTCTCTGCGCAGAAATCAAAATTCTAGCTGATTTGTTTTAAGTTTTGCAGCATGTGATCGAGCGTGGTGCATAGTGCATAGTGCATAGTGTCTTAAGTGGTTCACTGAGGAGCTGTTGTGCAAGGCATCTCTCCGGCGCATAATGTGTAAAGGCTCTGCTTTTATTACAGTGTGCAAGAGGACATAAAAATTCATGAATTCTGAATCCTGATCAGGCAGTAAAAATTTTAACCATGGGATGCATGGCATGGGTCAATCTGGAAACTCGTCATCCGAATAACCTCCAGTCTTGCACATCCTGCTGTGCAGATCAAACCCAAATATACATAATGGATCAATCAAAGGTGCACAGGGCTCAATTAATTGGCAATACAAGGTATGTACATATATTCACAGTATCATGCACAGCAATGCGACATTGTGAAATGTACTCCCACAACCCAGTCCAGTCCAGTTGCAGGATGCTGCCTAGCTAGGCGCATCACAAAGAGAAAACCATCCATCGTATTCAGTGTCCAGTAGCGCCTGTGGCTGAACAAGCTTGGCATCAACATGTACAAATACTGTAGCCAGTATGTCTGGAAGGCTGTGCAATCTCAAAGGCAGCCCAAAAAGTGCATTTTTTCTGTCCAAATCTCTAATGTCTGAATTTACAGAGAAACTGGTTCCACAGCAACCACTGTCGTGTGGAAGTTGGTCATCAAATGTAGGCTGCTGTCACGCCCCTCTTGCAAGCTGGACACCACTGCCTGAGGAACCTGCACAGCGGGGACATGATCAAGTCTCTCAGTTGTAGCCACTTCATAGAAAGAGATATGCAGACATCAGAGCACCGCAAGCGCAAGAGAGATAGGAGGAAGGGCTGCTCCTCGAGTGGGTATGGTGCAGCCACAACATTTATTTTGTCTCCTAGCCAGTGTCTCTCGTCAATGAGCGCCACCTGCAAGCTTAGAAGAAGCAGCTGGCGGTCCTCTTGCGGTGATGTCACAGGTCCAACATGATGGCGATGCTTTGCATCATCCACCTCCACATCCGGCCTCCGTGCAATCTGCATGATCATTGATCCAGAATCACAGCCTTGTGGCTTCCTTGACACTAGGTCAACAAATAGGCAGGCAGCCCGTTTCTGCTGTAGCATGGGAGTGAAGAAGCAGTAGGAACAGTGATTGTTGGAAAGGTACTCACATGTGCAGGTAACGGAGCATGTCCAGGTATCAATAGCTGGGCGCTGCTGCACAATTGCAAGCCTCGGCCATGCACAGCAATATGCACAGTCCTGCTGCGGCGCTGGAAGGCCTGTGACTGCAGCTTGGGCAACCACTTCCATGCCCCTGCCAACCTGGGCCATAGAGCTAGCCACACCTGCAAGTAACCCAGACTTGATCAGCATATACATCAATAGATCAGACCCCTTGAAGCTTTAAGGAAAGGGCAGGAGGTCCACATCGCATAGATTGAAGATGCACGGGATCTGGGGCTACTCACCACTGTCAGGAGGCTTGCAACAATAAGAAGCAGGCCCTTGCGCTGCTGCTCAATATCGCCAGATGCAGTGCTCAGATGGCTTGAGACATCAACACGGCCCATGCCGCTTGTAGTTGATTTCTCGGGTGGTGCTATGACTCGGGCGCTGTCCACATGCATGGCTGGAGCCACGTCATCCGCCAGCCAAGCATGCTTCCGCCTGATCCTGCCCTCACGTTCTGCCAGCACAAAGTAAAACATAAAATGAATTGTTTCCTTTTTACGGTTGCTGCAGGGGACTCTAAATTGACTTTTGCTGGCAAGCTACAATGCACAGAACACAAACTCAAGCGCACACAGGGTCGAAATTTGCATGCACGCCAAAGAGGGAACATTCTGATGTTGACTAAATGGCTATTCACCTGCATTTGGCCCTCCACCGTAGTTGCTGTCATAGATATCCCGAAGGCGAGCGCGGTACACCGGCAGCCGGTGCATCCAGAAGATGGTCCGCAGCCGCCGCTGCAGCGCATCGACCCGTGACATATCGCTCGCCAGCTCAGCGCTGACATCACCGACATCTGTCAGCACACCCCTCAGCTGCGCCGGCTTTGCGAGGCTCCACTGCTGGCCGATCGGCACATACTCGCCCAGCACAGCGAGCGGCAGCAGAAAAGCGCTCGCAAGCAAGCGCGCCCGCCGCAGAATTGTGGCGGCTGCGTCGCACTTGAGGCCGTCGATCTGCCCCAAGAGATGGCCTGCCGCGGCCAGCGCTACCTCCTCCTCGCTGTCCAGGCTGCTCAGGCTGCTGCTGCTGCTGATACAACTGCAAGGGCTGCTCAGTGGGTCCCCCTGCGCAAGAGCGCCGCCCTGGGAATCTCCAGATGCAGGGCGTGGGGCCTGCACATAGACGGCTCCTGCCGCGAGGCCTGGCGAGTGCTGTGCTTGTATGGTCGCTGCCTTTGCTGAAGTGCCCCAAAGTCTCTGTCTGCCGTCTGCCTTCACAAACGTGCTCCAGCTGTCCAGCTTTGTCGGCGCGTCATCAACCATGGAGGCAGCCAGCGGCTGTGGGCTGGCTTCTGGCAAAGTAGATGCTATAGATATTTTATGGACAGAGCTGTGCGCAAGCCGGGTCCCCGCTGCGGCAGCGGCAGAGCAGCGGGGCCTGCGGCCGGCGTCGTTGCGGAAGAGCCATGCGTCGGTGTCGGCCATTTCGAGCGACATGGACGACAGCTCTCCACGCGCGCCGCTGAGCATGTCCCTCAGCAGCGGCGATGGGAGGCCCAGGTGCAGCGGCCGGCTGAACACTAGGCCTGACTGCGATGCTGGGCAGGGCACGATGTTATTAAAGCTGCGCGGCTCTGCCTTGGCGCTTAATACCCGGTTGCGGCCAGGCGACTGTGGCGCGCCGCCGCCTTTTGTGCCGCCGAGTTGGGTGGCGACGGCGGCAGCTGCGCCTGCAAGATCTGGCAGCTGCCACGAAGCTACTGCCGGCGGCTGGGGGGCAGCTGGCGCACCCGGGATATCTGCAGAGCTGGGGTGCACCCGCCGGCCGAAGAAGCTGCCAAGGAGATCCTCTGCCAGAAATACAGGTATCATTCAGCCTTGTACTGTGGCCATGCAATCAAATGCTGACCTCTGACATTGCTTGCATGCTTGATCTGAAAAGGCCTGATTGCTCAATGCCAGCCCTTCATCACAGAACTGGGCAGTGAGTCTCACCAGGTAGGATGTAATTCTTGAACAGGCTGTGCCAGCCCTTCTCCTCAATAAGGCTGGCGAGTGCAGCATTGCCGATGGCCGGCGTGGCATATCCTATGCAAGACACCGGCACTCTGAAGATCTCTGAGGCCCTCTCCAGAGTGTGCAAGAGGTCCAACAAGCAGATCTGCGCCACAGCCCCTCCCAAGGAGTGTCCTGCGGAAAGCGAGAGCTACATGTCATAATGTTGATCCGCGAAGAAAGCTGCAATTCATCTGTAGCCAGTGCAACTGACCGATAGCAGCACTTTGATGCAATGTTTTACAAATTATGCAGGGCAGCTTTGAGGCCACAACTTTTGATCTTCAGTGGCTGTAGACAAAGCCAAGACATGCACATGCAATTGCGCAGATCATCCCTTACCGCACAACACAAGGCGAAGGCCCTGCTCCGATGCATGTCTGTACAGGCTGTGGATATCAACAGCCCTCGCACGCCGCAAGAAGCCTCTGTGCGCTTGTGGAGTATCCTGCTGTTGCAGAAAATCACTCAACTCATTGCATAGCTTGGGGATGTTTCTTGTATGGAATTGTCCCTCACAATGGGTGCGCTGCAACTCCCAAGTGTGGTCAGCAGGTTGGACCGGTCAGGAAGAGGATATATTATGTGGAGTTTTACTAGAGGGGTCCGCACATAGGCTCTTGCTTGAGATATTGTCTGTCTCTATGCTTCATCTATCTGTGAATTTGCTGTTGTTTCAAGCTCCCCAGCCCCTATTTTTGCAGCTTGATTTGCATTTGGGCAGGCCATAACAATGATGCCCCCAAATTCTCAGGTTCTCCTCTAGATTGCGCGGACTAGAAAGCAAGGCTTACCTGGCTGTTGCAAGCAGGCTCAGGCCAGATAGGGGCCATGCCTATGCTGGCATTGATAAGAATGTCACGCTGTTGTTTTGTGCCCATGAATGCCACATACAAGGCATCCTTGCTCTGAGCCACCATGTACCTGCACAACGTCCCTCTTTATTTTCATTGTGTCCAATGCTAGTAGGAAGCATCTCTTCTGTAAGGACATAAGATGGTCTGCGAGGGACTGAAGGCCCGTACCTGTGCGCCAAGTCTGGCGAGGACCATTGCAGCCTCAGTTGTATGTCGGAGGGATTGGGCAGAGCTCTGCAAAGCTCGTCTGCGACATGTGCAGCCTGTGGCAAGCCTCCTGGATCCAATATTCTGTAAACTGTTTCTGAGAGTGCCAGTGCGAGAAAGGCATCCTGCACACAGCAGCACCTTCATCATTATCTCTGCTGGATCAACTCATTGCATTGTCATTCTTGTTTGAAGATGACAAAATCGAAATAGTTGCTGCAACCTAGTCCCTCGAAAGCCTGTGACACTGCTGTGCTGCGCGTCTCGAACTCCGTCTGTCTGACCAAGGACGCAACACAGGCCGCACCTTCAGCTGGTCACTCGAATCGATTCCCAGGGTTTTTATAGTCTGGCTGGGTCTGATGGCACTAATAAGGCGTCCGCTGTTGCGCGTCTGACCCATCCGAAGAGGCAAGTGGCTGACGCTTTTCAGCGCCCTCAATCTCGACTGCCCAGCTGAGCGTATACCAAAGGCTGGATTGAGCTTCCAAGTTGCCTCAACGTGACCAATGTAGAACGAGATTCCGGGAGCCATCAGAGGAGACAAGCAGGCCGAAACGAAAGTGGCACGTTCCCGCACGAGGGGACATTCTCGCTTCCGGTGAGAGGCTCGCACGATTTAAGCCACTTCACCAGTTTTGAAAGAAACACTATTTCATTCTATGAATAAATGGTGGGCGAATGTTGCATCACATAAGCTGAGGAGCTTCCTGGAGGATGGCAGAGAACGTGCGAGCACGTGCTGAGGGGCTCCCGCTCGAGGGGTCTTGTGATGGAAACAAGGGATATATCTCAGGGCTGACGTGAAAGTTCACATGAACATGCAAAGCAGTCGCAACATTTCCATAGAAAGGTTTGATATCATATTTGATTGCTAGAACTTGATTTGTAGGTTCTAGATAGAGTATTCGTCAGATTTATTGTCAAGGTACGCATCACATGAATATTGTACTCCAGCCAAGCTCCACTAGATCTGCCTTCAAGGCTGTGCAATCAGGACATCGAAACAGGAGATCCACATCACGGAGATCCAACACAATGGCGATATTCACTTTGGGTCAGAGCAAGGAGAAGAGGACCAGTGCAAAGGCTGAGGTGATTGATACCAGTTACATCTGGATGCGGTGTTCATCAAATGAGCGAAATTAGAACAATCTTGCAAGCATTTTGCCTTCTGCCATGACCATGTGCACTTGTGTACAGTTGCTCGAATTGATTTCGAGGCTCGACAGAGGAGCATCAGCTTCTACTAGTGAGAAATCAGAGGTAATTTATAAGTTGCTGCCTACTGCGTTGTGTCCACTTTTGTAAGAAGCATGAGCTAATCATTTTTATTGCTGCCCTCCAGGTGGATCAATTAGCACAAAAGCTAGAGCGAGTGAACCCAAACAAGAAAGCTCTTGCCAGTCCACTGCTCAGTGCCAAATGGAGACTACTATACACCACAAGTGCAAGCATATTGGGAACAACAAAGCCACCATTCTTGAGACCCCAAGGGCCAATTTATCAGACGATTGGTAATCATCTGCCCAGTCTTCTCCTGCATATTCAGCACTGCAAGACTTGCCTTCTCATTGTGTCAATAAAATCGCTGCTGCATACAGATGCGCAGAACCTCACAGCCCAAAACCAGGAGACATGGCCATTCTTCAATCAGGTATGCGATCTGTGTCAGGCCATTCGTTGTAGTGGCTGTGCTTTGACAGAACTAGGAACAGGTTGGTGCGACGCAACAGCTGCATCAGATGATAGAAATCTGTATGTTCAGGTGAAGGCTACCTTGACGCCAGAGACTGCTTCGAGGGTGGCGGTGCAGTTCAGGGAGTTCAAGATCCTTGGCCTGATCCCAGTCAAGGCACCGCCGTCGGCTCGGGGGAAACTGGATACCACTTACCTGGATGAAGACCTCCGCATCTCAAGGGGAGACAAGGGGAATCTTTTTGTGCTGGAGAGAGCTGGCCCTGTTGAATGATTGGGGATGGATAGCTGGATAGCGTCCTTTTCCTGGATTATTCTAGAAGAGCAAGTATAACCACAACAATTGCATTGAGTGCCAATTTTATCATAGCTTAAGTCTTGCTGAGAGTTCCTAAGCAGACATTGAGTTACTTAATAGCTGACCCGATCGCGATGGCACTTCAAGCGCGTAAAATTTATTCTCCGTGACAACTATTGGCGATGGCAGTGTACAAACATGCGTACGTTGGTGCCTCCCAAATCCCCTACGATGCATCCTTTGCCTGCATCCAATGTATGTTCACAGCCACCTTCGATGCAGCATGTGCGCACTGATGTCACCCCTAGGCCTAATAGCATGCATGCATATATATGCTCAGCTTAGCGCTAACCATGCTAGCCAATTTCGGAACCCTGGAAACGATGACACTTCTTGAGATCGTTCTCGGAGTGAAAGAATAAAAGCATAGCTTGGGTACCGGCTTCAATCACATAGCGGTAGGCAGTCTTGAGCTAGTGTTGAGAGGAAAGGAAGGTGCAAGAAGCTAGCAGGTGGCAAGAAGGAACGCCGAATGATCGATTTTCCGAGACTCCTGGAAATGGAGAGAAAGTGGAGCGTTGAAATTTGCTATCACCTCATCAAGTACAGTGTAATTGATTGTGAGAGCCAGCCTATCAGAAAACCCACTTAATGGGTGTTGAACTCGCCTACCTCGGCAAAGGGAGAAAAATTTACTGCATCTTGAATAAGGCCTGAAGTGAAGTGCGTGCTGTACCTTTCGACTCAGCATATCTGATTGGAAAAATGGCGACAGGACTACTGGACAGCTGGAGGTACGTCTTGTTCTTGTTCAAGACCTTCATGTTCTCCTCTTACTTACTTTGGGGACTTGCCAGAATCTTCGACACCATCTTACAGTCTTCTGATCCTCGACAGGGACTCTAAGACATTCCGTCCGAAGAAAACGACTCCTATGGGTAGCAAGGTACGCTCAGATGTGTTTTCGTTGTGTCTGTGTGCTTTTCAGTGCTGAAGGTTCGAGGTGCTCAAGTCAGCTGTGTGCTGCAGGGCCTCACATTAAAGAGGCATATAGACGCTACTTTGGGCCAAGGAAAAGTAAGAGAGGCAGTACGTCTGCCAGCTGGGGAGGACTTGAATGAGTGGCTCGCTGTCAATACTGTGGACTTCTACAATGCAATCTCGGTGTTGTACAGCACACTTGATGAGTACTGCGCAGCCTCTTCCTGCCCCATAATGTCTGCTGGACCCAAGGTAGCTTGAAAGCTTCCTGGTCTTCCAATCTTTGCTTGAAAATTTCATTGCTTCTGCACAAGCACCCTATGCCTTCTTATTCTCATCCTTGTGATGCTGCAATTGTGTGAAGACTCCTGTGCTCGCCGTACAGTATGAGTACCTCTGGGCAGACGGAGTGAAGGTCAAGAAGCCTGTGCGCTTGACAGCACCGGAGTACATCAATGCCCTGTGTGATTGGATTGAAACACAGGTGACATCCCCGCCCTGCTCTGAAGATGACCCCTGTGACACTTTATGACTCAATTGCCGCTCTGAGACAAAATGATTGGATCCCGTGTTGACAGTAATTTAACCATGTGTGATCAGATTGATGACCCAAGGCTCTTTCCCCAGCATTATGGAGAACCATTCCCGCTCAAGTTCAAAGACGTCATTGACAGCATTTTCAAGCGGCTTTTCCGGGTGTATGCACACATCTATCACTCGCACTTCAAGCACATATGTGCCCTGGGGGAGGAGGCGCACCTCAACACCTGCTTCAAGCACTTCATGTACTTCACTGAGGTGTGTCTGAAGTGCCTATTTGATGAGGGACAAACGGCCCTGAGAGCAATGCTGGTGCTTTGAATCTGGATGCCTGAGAGCAATGCCAAATCTACATGGAGGCACGGGGTATAGATACAATTGTATTTGCATGGCCTTGACTTTTTGAAGATTGACTTGAGCATCGATTGCATAAAGCTGTGAGGTGCAACACTGATGGCAGTGATTGTGTGTGGGGGACAGGCGTACAATCTTATACAGCCGAAGGAGTTGGCCCCTCTACAAGACCTCATCACGCAAATGCTGAGCACTTGATTCCATCCTTGTGATTTATCAGCTTGATATTCATGGTGATTCTGACGCATGCTGAGCTGACGTATGTCTTGGCAAATCCTTTTATAGGTTGAGGGGACCACGGTCTGTTTTGGTAGAGCCTCTGGTTTGCCAGGTTTCTGGCAGTAGTTGTCCAAAGTCTGCACCAGCGGTCATATGATATTCTCAGTGTGGTTTGGAGTATCGGTGTGGGATGTTTTCTGCATGGTTTCCGTGATGGAGAGTGATGGGAGGCAAATGAGTCTGTCAGAACGGTTGCTGTGGGGATTGCCTATGGTCTTTGCTGACCACAAAGAGCAATCGAGAGTGGGAGATAGAGAGAAAATAGAACCTCATTAAGTAATAGACAGCAACTTCTCCAGCTCCAACATAATTTCTGCTTGGAGCTCTGAGAGCCTTCTGCAGCAGCTGCATGTTGGTGTCAGAGGATGCAATCTATAGTTGCTGCGCATTGACAGGTTTTATAGTGTACCTGTTCTCAGAAGTTGCAAGAATTTCCTGGATATATAATATAATAGATATAACCCTTGCTCTTCCTGGATGTATGAACGGCCTTGAATCCAGATACTCCGGACAGACAGTCAGGATCCTGTACAGTACTTTACAGCTCAGGTGTTGTGTGTGTAATCGCTGTTAAAATAACATTAATTAAATTTCTGCAGCCCATGGGCCAAAGTAAGGCAAAACTGAACTGCATACACAGAGTGAGCCAATGCCATGGCAGCAAGACCTGTCTCGAGAACTTTCCGTCTAATAGCCTGATGATCATGTTCTCGTGCGTTTAGGTGCGTCATACTGCAGACACTTGCTCAAAGCATTCTATGTTGTTCAGCTGAACGTTCATTTATTCTGTTCTGCACAAGTCATTAGCAGCTCGTACCTGATCTCTTAAGTATACATGCATCACTGGCGAGGTTTAAATTTATGCACATGGGCAGCCACCGGTGTATGGATGCATGGTGGCATGCAAATCAATCCTGCAATGTTGCTCTATAATCACTTGTCGAACTGCGCTCAAAAGCGGCACACAAAGCGATGGACACCGCATGACTGAGGCTCAGACTTTCCTGCAAGCGGCCCATGTGGATCGAGCACACTGCGCTGCAGGCTGCCACTTCCTCAGCTGTGAGCCCTGTCACCTCTCGGCCAAACACAAACGCCACCTTCTCCCCACCGGACGCAGAAGGGCCAAGCAGCCCTTCCCTTTCAAGGTGGTCTGTCATCTGCGTGACAGTGCTGAACGCATCTACTCCATCAAGCCCTGGTGAACGAAGGAGCAAACAGACAACGCCTCAGATTTGACCCTGTTCGGCCCAAGGTACATCCCAGTATGTGACAGGCTAATCAATGCTTGACAAAGTGGAATGCTTGTGAGCTTGACAGTGATCATTTTGTCACATGCAACCTCAAACAAGCAGGAAGCTGCGGTATCAAGCTACAAGCCAGGTGCATGTCGTTTCAGAAGACTCCTTGGCATGTGTTGCACCTCAGTGGGCCAGGCATTGTCAAAGGCTCACCCTGTGGCCAGCGTGTGAATGCCACACTATAGGAGCACCCCTGCAGGGCCTCCTGGACGCTGCTGAATTCACCCGCCTGCCACAGCAGCCGCTGGCCGCCCATGGCAGAATTCAGGGCAGATTTGACCGTTGTTGGGCAGGAAGGACCCACGATGCGGAGTTCATCCACCTCGAAGCAGTTGCAGGCGCGAGCCACCGCACCAACATTGGGAGGCTTCTCTGGGCTCACGAGCACCACTGCCAGATTTCCCAATGCCGCTGGGGGCTCAAGCTGGGGCTTCCAAAACCTCTGTAAAGTGTCCTTTTTCAGATTCCTGCAGGTCAATAGCAGCTTGAGGCCGCGTCTTTGGTATTTCTTCCCTGGATCACTCTCAGATCAGTGTCTGGTTTAAGTAAAAACGGGTTCACAATAGAGACTTTTGCTTGCAAAGAAAACAAACTGCAGGATAAATACCTGATGTTGTCTATTAGTTGGGTTCGTTGATCCCTAGGGTCGCAAGAATTGCAGATCGAAGAAGAACGTCCTTTGTGAGCTCGAAATATTTGGCCACAATTTGGAAGCCTTAGACCATAAAAAGGGCAAGCAAACATCCCTTCAAATTTCTACATGTCGCCATCACAACTTCAGTTCTCCATTAGGGGCCCATTCCCCTCAAATCTCTCGGGCCACATGACTCGATAAAGTGCAGATTAGTAGTACTACTAGTGGTCACGCATCCTACTCTGTCGGGCAAAATCCACTACTTTAGTGGACATGCACTCCACTACATTAGTGGATTTGGCTCTCTTTCTGAGCACGCCCCTTCGGGGCGTGCAATAACAAAAGCAATGCTGCACATCCTTCAGATTTACCTACAACAATCTCAGCATTGCATAGTACCTCCGTCAAGCTAATTATTTCGGTCAAGCCTGTATCTATAGGATCGTGCGCTACTCGTTTCTGCGAAGACAGCAATGCCATTTGCCAGGTTACCGTTGCAAAGTAGGATTTGAAAGGGGGGTGGGACGGCCGCAAATGTTTATGGGAGTAATTTAAACGAATTCTTGAAGTCTTCTGTCGCTGGCCATGTGAGGTTCGCACTTTTGCCGGTTTTTTGGCATCCCCATCCTTGACTTGTTTGGACTCAGCTAATCGAATGTCACGACCATCGACGTGCATGTCTACTTCTTTCGTAGTGACTGCATGCCCTGCCAAGCCAATTCCTTGAAATGAAATGCGTGCAGGCAACACAGAGCGTTCACCTGAATTGAGCACTGATGCACCGGACAGACACTGAAGTCGTCTACAATCTAAACCAACATCAAGTTCAATTGTTCTGGTGAGCGTTACGATCCCTCTGCTGCTGTGAGTAGCCGTGGGTGTCTGCCCTGACCTGGCTTTGCTTGGAATGCCAATCTGATGAGGAGCATCTGGAGAGGACTGTGCACCCCAAAGAGTAGCAAGTAGCCCAGGTGCTTGTAAGGATAGTTGTATCACTTGTACTAGAAGGCATGCTGCTGATGTACTTCTCATTCCTTTAATGTCCTGGTGGATCACTTGCAGAAACCGTTGTGTGATGACTTCATGCAGGACGAATGGTCAGGAACAAGAGGTGGAGGGTCAGTGTCAAGGTGATACCATCAGCCGACACTCCTGCTCTGCTGCAGCCAGGCCGCAGATTTGGGAGGAACCTAGGCAGCACTGTGGCAACATCTGCACCGAGGGGACCCCGGAGGCCGGCCAGCGCCCTTCCATCCTGGCGGATCCCTGCAAGAAACACAGCTCAGCAGGAAGAACAGCAGGATGGCTTTGCAGATGGAGATGGAGAAGCCGCTGCTGCCTATTATCAGCCTCCGCCCTCACGCCGGCGTCTGCGGAAACAGGCAGCTCAAGAGGATAATAGACGGCTGCACCAAGCATGGGATGCGTGCTTTGATGACAATGTATTCAGGAACACATGTTTCCAAGCTGGTCAGCCTGCACGCCAAGCAGCACTGAAGCAGCAGCTGCAGGCAGAGTTTTTGACAGCTGCCAGAGCAGCCCTGCCCGCTTGCAGTCCATGCAGTCAGGCTGGGAGGGTGGGATCAGTGTGGGAGCAGGTGGAGACGATCAGCAGGCTTGTGTATGTCTCGATCAGCGGCAGGACAGAGGTCAGCCCCCCAGCATTCAGGTGTGGCGGGTGCAGTGCCGCCTTCACAGTCGATCCTGTGAGCATGGGATGCTTTCCTGCAACGCCACAGAGGCCGCTGGTTTACTACTCTGGAGCGCTCATGTTGCAGACGCATGAGCTCAGCCTCGCCAGCCCAACCTCAATGGTCGCCTGGACTAGCGCCCTGGAGGAGGTGCACGTCAGGAACGGCTGTGTGCCGTACGGGCAACTGAGTGGCCTGCCCAAAAATATCTGGAGGAACCTCCCAGTGGCGGTCAGACAGTGGCGCAGAATGGACATCGCCACACATGACCTCAACAGGCTTGGCGTGCAGCCCATCTGTTCGGAGGCAGGGCTCAGCGGTGACTCAGACTTGCAGCTCGGCCAGCCGCCGCCGCCCCAGGAGAACACTCAGAGGGAAGCAGCAGCGTCGTCATCGCCACCAGAAATGGAAGCAGGCAGCCTCGCGGCTCAAACTGGCAGAGATGCAGCTGAGGTGGGCCCGGCGACCCAGGAATCTCTGGACAGTCGTGCCTCCGGGGGCCCCACTGTGCAGTGTCCTTGCTGCTTTCGCACTTGCGTGGCAGCCATTGCTGACGCCTGCCTGGGACTCACGCAGCTCAGGGCGGCGGGCAAAGCCTCTGATTTCCTGCAGCCGAAGCTGCCCTATAGCCCCTTCATTGCTGATGAAGAGGTGAAGGCCTTGCTCGCTCAACGGAAGGCCTTGGACCCGGCGGCGCTGGAGCGGCCGGTCTGCTCTCAGTTCGTTGCTGCCACGCCAACCGCCTCAGACACGCAGCTGCGCCTATATGTGCAAGTGAGTCTCCTCGCATTTTTCTGGGATCTTGTTGCGCTTACTGATGTTGGCATGCATCTCATATATCCATGATTTTTTTCTCTTTTTTTCCTGGCCCCGGCTGGCAAGGGTAATACTTGGCAGCACCCTAGCGTGCCTTGCTTCAGGTGGTAAAAATACTGAATACCATGCCCACGGTTGATTGGGTCTTGCTTGGATCTGGCGAGTTCAACAAGGGGTAGGGTTATGGCAGCCTTAAATTGCAGCTCTGCAGGATGTACCTTGCTTGGCAGGAAAGCGTGTAACAAGAAGATGTGCTGGTGCTTTGGAGCCGGTCTGACACTCCCGCATGTGCTTGTGCGTAGGGCGTGGCAGCAGCAGTTTGCCGCCACGGGTATGTTCTCGTGGCGGCAAACCTGTTCACACCGGAGTGCTTTGTTTACTACGAGTTGCTCCTGCAGCGTCTGCTGAAGGAGTTCAAGCCTGAGGAGGGCAAGGATCTGAAGTACTTCTTCATTGACATTGCTTGCCAGTTTGACCCATATTGGCGAAGGTATAATCTTTCGTCCATCATGCCTGGCGTTTACGTCAAGATGTGCCCTGTACAATTATTGCATGGAACAATTTCACTCCTAGTGTCTAGTACTAGTCATGCTATGAGTGTGTGGATTCGTCGGAGTGCACAGCAGCGTCCCCTTTGAATGGTGATGTGTTGTGCTGGCAGGATGGTTCAAGGAAACGTGGAGGGTATGCCTGGCCTGGCAGTGGGGCCGTGGCATGTGAAGGCTCACATTCCGGCATGCCAAGAAAAGTATGGCGCCCGCCGCATGCTAGCGGCAGGAAACTCCTTTGGTGACAACATTGAACAGGCTTGGGCACATTACAGGAAATTTGCACACATCTTGAAGCGCATGGCGACTGCCACGCGGGAGGACTACATGACGGACCTGGTGAGTTCTCCTTTCATATGATGCAAGCTCTTGTAGCCTTGCTCGATGTTGCAGTTTGTAACCCTGTAGGTGCGAGAAGTGACAATGTTGGTCCATGTGCAGGCGATGGCTTGGCAGCGAAAAAAGGAGCGCAGGTTGCCCAAGCAGCTGCTTGAGTGGCATAGGAGGGCTGCTCGACTGCTGGCACAACTGCGGCAGTCCACGGGGGCCCTCAAGCAGGAGATTGCCCAAATCAAAGCCCCCGAGTTGCAGGTAAAATGCACCCCTCCTAGTTGCTGCACCTGTCTCTACTGATTCTCTGGGGAGATGCCATCTTGATATATCCTGCAGTCTGCAATGCTTTGCATGCTCGCTTATTGGCTGATGAATCAGGTGCAGGGTGGCGGTGGCTCAGGAGGCGTCCCATCACCGGCAGGCCAGGATCCTCTCCAAGGCGGCGCTGGTGCAGGCGCAAGTGACGAAGCAGAGGTGTGTTGGTCCTTTTTGAAGGCTCTTCTCTAGCATGGAATAAGTATCAATGGGTATGCTAGTGAGAAGGAGGTGCTCAGAGGACTCAGAGTAAAGAGCTGCCTCAGAAGAAAGTATGCAAGCAGATTGTTTGTTTTGCACGCAGGGGTCTGCCCGGGAGCAGCGGCAGACATCGTCTGAGGGGGCATCAACAAGCGCGCCCACCATCCCGGTGCTGCTCCACTCTGCACCTTCAGTTGGCTGTACTGGTGCTTGTTCATATGACATGATAGGACATTTGACATGTGACTTATGACATGACAGGACAAGACATGACAGGATGTGCATACTGGTGGAGTTTTTGTAAAGAGCAAATGGGATGCACACCTTTGGAAGATACATAAAGATGCATGAATCACTGATGTCAGGATTCTTACTCGCAGGCCCGTCTTACATGGGAGCACCACTACCAAGGCTGCTTGGAGGAGTTGTACGCGCTGGGTGGCAGTGTGACTCTCGCAGCTGAGGGGCAGCAATCGCTCTCCGAGCAAATGCGGCATGAGCACCGCCGAGTCCTTGAGGGCAAGCTGGCAGCGTGGGAGCGCAGGCACCGGGTACAGCTGCGGTGGGTGGAGGCAGACCGGTTGTACCAGGAGATAGGGGGTCAGCGGAAGAGGTTCATGATTCAGCAGCTACATGCTTCCATTGCAGCCAGGTTCGTGGATTACTACGCCCTACAGAGACAGCTGGAGACAGCGGCATATCGTGAGCGCACTAGCCT